ATCAACATAAAAATTCCCATAAATTAAATATCCAGTATTTATATGATAACCTCTAACTGACCAAAATGTTGTAAATATCTTTGCGATTAATCTTGTAGTCCATTGTGCACTAAACATTCTATCAGCTTCTCTTCTCTATTGCTTTGTGTCTTTATGAATGTTTAACAAAACAATATGAATAAATATCACACGAGAACATGCAGTATTTAGCTGCAGTGCAGCTTAAATGAAAGATGCTTTTCAGCAGTACAAAAGCTTTAATGTTGGCATCACCTGATGTAGTCCACTGCACTGGGAACTTAACGCAAATTAATTCCAACAAAATCGCCTCAGCGCACAACCTATCTACAGCTGCCAGAAACTTCAACCAATTTAAGTGACCAAAATAAGAGGTAAAGGTGTTACAACCCTCTGTTTTCTGGAGGTCATACAGTATTTCTCCGTTAATGGAACACTAGGATACTGCTAAAATAAATGGAGATCCAATATTGGAAAACTAGAAATACAATTTCCTTAGTCCACAATATCATAAAGGAATACAATAAACTTGATGTACATTGAACTTGTGAGGGACCACCGAACAGTACAAACCCTCACTTTTATTATATGATGTTTGGAGTTGATCCAGTCATCCAGTTTTTTTGGGAAATTTAAGCTATTAAATAACACAGCACCGACTCTTCCTGATGCAAACACTATGCTTTTGTTCTAAATATATAAAAAAGGCTCCTTTTATGCCCCTTTAAATCCAACATTGCTTATACATCTTAACACATCTAAACAGCAAATAACGGCTCAATCACCAAAATAAAGAAAAAAGGGGTGATTGTAATTAAGCATGCAGTCTTTTAATTTTTACTTTAAGAGCAGTCAAAGGTGTAGCTCAAAGAACTACTTCTATAAGTTCAAACACATTACTTATTACAAACATACAGTATATTAAGAATAAAATGCTGTAAATCTCTTTGATACATTTATCCCAGGAAGTAAACTGATGATGTTTTTGTACAAATCAAGAATTTTTAACATTCAAGCCACTCCATGGGAGAATTACAGCTTCACAGATTGACACTACACAATAGGATCTAGTTTTAGGCAGCACCAACCTCACACACACAGGAGAATCTGTATTGTAACTCACTGGCAATATCTAATGTGAACCAAAGAAGCCTACCAATGTATTGCAAACCTCAAATGATTTAGTCACCTATGCCACCAAAATTACACTGATGGTGATCCACTGACTGGCGAGGACTCCAGCTGGAGACAAAATTCTTCCCTCTGACATCTCATGAAGCCACACATATGGGTACCAGCACTGCCGGCAGAGTCTTAAAATCACCACAGGGTAGTGTGCAAATTCTGAACAAAATTAAACATCCCTAGAGGTTAAAACAACAGTAAAAATTTCCAGTCGAAATTCAAATTCAGGAGGGGGAAACTTCACAGGAGGAATCCATGCAGTGAAGGAAGTCAGTCACCTACGCCCTGTGCTGGTTTTTGTATTCAGTGCTGGGCAGCTAACTTGTGTGGGAACAAAAGAAGGTGGTGCCGAATTAAAGAGCCTTTTTGACGCTATTTGTAGAAATTACGGAAAAAAAAAACTTTTTGTGCAAGGCAAATACTTTAGATAAGAGGTCATGATTAAGGTCATCTAGGCCCAACTGCTGTTCAGAGCTCCGCACTGTTCAGTACCTAATGTCTCCCAGCTAAATCAATATACTAAAGCACTAAAATATTACTATTCTGGTGATAAAAGATAAGTTCCTAGTTATGAAAGCAATAACCACTATAATAGAAGGATTGTATGAAAGAGCATTTTCCGGTTTCTACCGAAACAAAAGTGGATAGGGGGATTTAAAAAATGTTAAAGATTCTAAATTAAACATTTTCAACATTCCTGCATCATGGGGCAAACTTTCCATAACTGCTTAATGGTTACAGTACTCCTCTAATGTTCAATTATGGCCACCACGAGAATCTTCTACAGATAACTATTTTACATGACACCTTTACATAGAACTATAAAAACTATAGAACTGCTCATAAAGCTGTGTCCTCATAAGAACAATTTTTTTCAGCTTTTATGAGAGGCAGAGACATAATTTATTGAATAACAGCCTTCAAGGGACGCAAAATGATTAACTGTATATTCTAATATTGATCAATACATTACAGTCACAAAGTCATTTAGGAGTCAGTCATTCAGACATTCTTAAGATGTATCCGATTTGGCCTCATCTCTTTGTTAGGAGTAAATTGAGCGTTTAACATCTTCCTTTCATCTGTAATTTCTTCGTTGTTGTTTGAGACCTTCTCAGCAATCAGTTAGGTTTCTAATCAAACAGGTTTTAGTTTTCATTAATGAGTTCCAAACTGATTGTCACTTCTTTAGATTGTTCAAGCAGGTAACTGCGTTAGCATGCGCAGGCTGCAAAGGAACAAGTAAAGGTTCCTAACATGCTGAAGAAGAAGGCCAAAACGTTGTGTTTCTTTTCTTCTCCTTTCGGCATGGAATTAACCTTTACTTTTTTAGATAGAATAATAGGATGGTGTGATACCCCACTGACCACCAAAATGGAAACACTAGAGAAGTACTCTATTGTCTGTGATTTTTTAATATTTCTGACCCTTCTTGTTCCTTTTCTTTCCACCCAATTCACCTCTTCACCTGCTCTAGTTCTAATTACTCCTTCCCTTTCTATAAATCTTATCCCATCCTCACTCTTTTGTGAAGGTCTCCTACTGTAAATTTCAGAATGTCTGAAGTTTCTGAAAGGCAGACAAGAAGCGGAGAGATACCATGATTGGCTAAGACAAAACAGGTTAAGACCAGTGGCAGACTGACTACTGCACGTACTGTGGTCACGGCCTGAAGTCTCAGCAAACAACAGTTCAATAAACAAGCAATTAGGTTTACAAAATGATACAAATACTTCAGAAGAAATGCATAAACACTCTCGTGATATATAAAAGTAGTAGTAATTGTACAAATAATTAGAGGGTAAGAAACATGCAAATTAATTACGTTCTTAATGAAGAAATAATATGGAAACCTGTAAATGGCACTAAAACAACAGATGTCCTTGAAATCCTGAAAAGAAGAAGAGCTTCTGAAAAAACACCTGGTCTTCTATGACTTTTACAGCACTTAATGGATTTAGGCTCAACAGTTAGGCAATTTAAAATAATACATACTAGGTGTCAAAGGAAACTGACCAATTCTGTCTGCAACGAAGTTATCAGGAATTATCAGTTAAAGTTATCAGTTATTTTTGAAGCTCGTGCACTGAAATGATATTGAATATATATGTGACATGGATGGGTTTATTATGCTTAACATTTGCCAACAACAGGATGAATCAATAGAGGGTCTACAGTGAAAGTCAGAGTCTAATAGTGTCTGTGATACATGGTTTGCACCTGGTTGCAGATGCTGTTTTGTGGGATTCTGTCCTCTTTTAGAGACTGGAAAACATGTTTTTCGCAGCCCGAGATGCCAAGTGTCACCTCAGCTCTTCTCACAGATAAGTAATGGGGCTCCAGCCAAGTGTCACCTCAGCTCTTCTCACAGATAAGTAATGGGGCTCCAGCCCCACGGTTCAAGTAGGGCAAACCTGGGGATAACAGTAATACCGTCTTCACACGGAAGACAGGACACAGGAAGCTGTTGATACACAAGCGACAGGAGGATGAGTGTTGTGCTACTGAAGTGCTATGTCAGGTGAGATCCCAGGACATGAACAATATAGTGCCATGACGTTAGGTTTCCATGAATCACTACCAGTGGTGTTCTGTAGCAGTTAAACACCCTTTTAAATGTTCATAAAAATTTCCGTAAATGTTTGCCCATGTGAGAAATAGACTGATTTCTGAATCTGAATGACTAACCATTCAGGAGACAGAGGCACTAGAAGTTCACTCATAAATACAGAAGAACAACTTTGACACCATGTTGATGCTTGTATATGGGATTATCAAACTTTTTAAAAATTCCAGTGGAAAGCAATAGTGATGAAAAATGAGGGCATTTGACCCCTGACCTCAATTATTTCAACACACTTAAACTCAGAACTTTTTCATTTTACCATATACAGTATAGTAGTTTATGTCTCGTTACCCCACGACCGTCTTCTGAAGGCTTTGTATTGAGCTTGACATTTACTTGAGACACCTCGCTGCTTAAGATGGATTGGCTCCCAAATTGTCAGGTTTTCCTCCAACATACTGATAGCATGAACACTTTCATGCTCTCTTGATGAATTAATAAGACATACTGTATAGACCCCTTTCAATGTTTTTTCCTTTCAGTTTTACCAGTTAGGACATTCCACAGTTTGAATCACGTGCAAATCTGTGCCCAATCAACACTCACTACTGAGATGGTTTGGCGCTTATGCTAACGTCTGTGTCTAAGCTAAGCGAGCGCATGAGTCATGCTCAAACAAAATGATGCCAGAACATGTAAGTAAATCAATATCCCAAATCGGTATACTTTAAAACACATGTGACATAGAGGGATAAGTTTCTTTCGATTCTTAAGTATACATTCTTAGGTTTTTATTTTTGCTGGAGGAATCCTTTACATTACCATATATATTTATGCATATACACGTTTTTCTGTATCACAAACACATTTTAATATTCCTGAAATGATCATACCATATAGTACGTCCGCTTTCTCCATATAATAGGTATACTTAAAGTGGTAAGTGTATTAGAATTAGTGAAATGCATTCGTATGCCTTTATAAACAAAATGCATTTAAAATCGATTACTGTACATAATTGATGAGAGAAAAAAAGCTATGAGCACTAACAGAAATTCCCACTCATGTCACAGCTGTTCGTATCGATAGCTAAAAGATCGATGTAAAAGCCAGTATGACACAACAAAGAAATCCCGTGAAACAATCTGTTAAAAAATATAGCTATACTCATAATACATACAGTAACAAACAAGTAGCGATAAAATCATTTCCCAGAATTCCTCGTCTTTCACGCTCTCTTTTTGAAATTAGTTAACCGCCATCCTGTTTCGAAACGAAACTTGGCTTAACAGAGTGTCAGTAACAGTGTGCATTTTAAACGCATTTTTCTTTCGAAAAACCTGCAAAAAAAGGTCACGCGTTTATTTACTTTTTAAAATTCAACCTTCAGCAAGAACTGGTTGTAAGGACATGAAAATGAAAGTAAAGATACATCGTGAAGAATTATGATCTTTTTCTATGGATGTACATATTGATCAAAAAGTGCCCGGTCACAAAAGCTCTTTGTAGAAGACATTCAAGTTCTAAATTTGACACTAACATCACTTTTTCTGGACACCACAGCTGCCTGCCTTTCATTTCTGTAAACACAGCCAGAGCGCTGCGGCACCAAAGCTAGCAGGAGCGAAAGCAGCGCTGCATGCTGGGATAGGCACCCTTGTGCACGGCTAGCCCTGTTGAAACCAAGATGGCGGAATTGATTTTGTGGAGATCAGAGAGTGGAACAGGCCTCAAATGAAACATCAGTTCAGTAATCCAGGGACCTCCGTCGTTATCGCAGCTGCAGCAATAAACCCCCTTGCCGTCTTGCTGAAACCTCGTCGTGACTAGGGGAATACCTTGCACAACCAAATCACACTATATACACACACAACTGAGAGAGAAAGTCTCGTATGAATTCCGACGAGAAGCAGGACTGTGAGTGTGCGCCACCACAGGCCGAGCCAGCCCCTACAGGAGGATCCGACAGGTCGGTACGGGGCTGGGGAAAGGGCCGGGGATTCCGGTCGCGGTCGGGCAAGTAGGAGAGAGGAAAGGGAGAGATTGCCTGTTTTGTACGGCAGGTGCACGGTTATTAATCCACCGTTTATACCTTTCCGTGTCCCCGTGTTTGCAGTGTGTGTCTTTCGTGCTCCGCCTTTAAAAAAAAACGGCATCTTATTCTGATAAGGTTCGGTTGCAACATTTGCCAAGTCTTGTTTTTGACAGTTGGATGTTGACAGTAAACAAGTTGCTTTAGGCCGTAGGCTGTACGATATGTTAAGAATTTCAAAACTGTTACAGTCTTGCAAGCGCTTACCTGGTTCCGATTTTACAGTGCTTAAGAGAATGAGCCATTTAAAGTGACACACGGAAAGCAGTTATGGGAAATGCCGTTCTGTTTTTAGCATCTAAATGCACAGCAATAGTTAATCATGCACTGTCATTACCCAGTAAGGCCTGTCAGCTGCACGGAGCTAGCTAGTTACTGTTACCTGAGTAGTATATAGGGTTATGACGTTTCGTGATGCACGATCAGATATTTTCATTAAACTACTTTCGTACTGCTCGCAATAAGGAGAATGATGGCATTGACTTGGTTAATAGAGCAGCTAAGGTTTATCCTTTGCTAGGCCCCTCCAGTGCACCGTGTCAAACATATTTACACTATTTACCAATGGCAGTACGCAAGCCTTTAAATTACCCATTGCAAACGTTTTGAGTTACAGGTCTATTTTCTATTAGATTATAGAAGTTCTCGTATTATTCCTTTTGATGTTTATACATTTCTTTGATTTCAATTTTAAAAGGAGCCATATAGTGATGGTTTGTGTCTCTGTTTTTCTATTTTATGAATTTTATGGGGTAGGTATATAAAAATAACTCATATTGTGAATAATGTAGAAGTGTACGTGTAGCTGAAGTTGTCATTTCTCCTCAGAGCAGCGGTCTCAAACTTAATTCCTGGAAGGTCTCCCTAGTGTCTCTGATCTCGGTTAAATAGTCGACTTGCTGAATGAATAAGCTGCTTAATTGAAATACATTGAAACCAGTCTTTGATGTGCTAACTGTAGATAGATATAAACTAACTTTGATTAAGTGAATGTCATGTGTGGTCAACTGTAAAAGACGTTTCGTAAATAAAAATAGGTTCAATGTTGAATTGACTACAAAAACCAGCAGACACAAGGCCCTCCAGGAAGTAAGTTTGAGACTACTGCCTTAAAGATATCAATGACCTTTGGAGCAGTGATTGATACCTGGAGAAGCTGCTATGTAAACTTTCCATTCTGTCATTCATACTAATTCTCTGAACTGTTCAAAGCTGAGAAGAGGAAGATTCCAATCTAGTAGTAGGTAGTCAGGTTTGACCTCAGAGTTCAATGTGTTTGTGAAAGGGTAATGGAAATTGTGATTACAAATCTGATACCAAGGCACAACTAGACTGTGCGTTAAAGTAGGCACTCTGCAGTTAGAGGCCCAGCAAGATTTTTTCATGGAATGACAAGAACATGCCTAGAGTAGACACGTGTAGTGTCAGGTTGGGAGTGTAAGATTTGAAACTACAGAGTTAATTTCACATTTTGAATCAAATACTTCATAGACTGGAGATTTAGGATCATGTGATTTCTAGGAGAAGGATAATGTCCAAATGGTATTCAAATAACTTAACTAGTGCAGGGATTGTTGGTGCTGGTGTGGACAGGATTAGAAGAATTTGAGATAATAGTGCAGTTTTATTTGTAGGCAGGCCCCCATGTGTCACTTGCTTAAAGTATTTTATCGCAACAGAACATCATTTTTTGCTCCCCATCTGTTCACTTTCTGAAGCAGCTTGATGCCCAAAATATAGGACTGAAGTCATAGTACTTCATTTAGCAAAGCCAGGTTCCCATCTCTTGTCATTGTACAATGAACAAAATGATAGGACTTTTATCTTCGTTGAAAGGTTGTGACAATTACTGTACAATGAACGTAAAAGCATTATTTTAACCAGATTTTTTTGTGCTAGTGGTCATGTTTAATGAATATACGATATCGACCCATTCAGTGTGATTTTAGTGTGTTCTTTCAAAGTTTTCTCTTTCTGTCAGAAATTAATTCTTTATCCGATATTGTTTTGCATTGCTTTTAGATCACCAGGAGAACCTGACATAGAGAACCCTGAAGCAAGCCGAATGTGAGTGAAATGTTCGGGGGCTTTATTGTTTGCAGTACCATGTCCTTACCCTGTAGTCTTACCTTTATCATCACAGCATCAGTCGTGTATTTTTCTTTAACACTGGTTTTGATGCCAATGATTTTTGACCCATTGAAATGTCTTACATACTTTACTAAATGTTTCAATGCATTGTTTTTTTACTTGAAGGTGCACATTTCTGTAAGCATGAACTTTCTGCAATATAGAGGTGTATGCATGGCGTTTTATAAGGCATGATCTTATTTTCATACTCCAAATACTTGTGCACATATCATTGTTCAAGAAAAGAATTAGAGAATTTGTGCCTTTCTTCAAAAACACCTTATTCTTTTCATTTTTATGTGTGCTGTAAGGCAGTCATATTTCATTCTAATTTGTATAGTGTACACTCTACTGCTGAACATGAACTCCTATAAGACTTTTATGGGTGCTTCAGAATAATTTCAACTTGCCTAATAAAATATTACAAGTTCTGACTTGTGAGAGAGACCTTCTCCGCCTTAATAGTTTTTCTAGAATTCTTCCACGTTTTATTTTTTTAAATGCACTTATGAAATGTATTCATACTTGTGACTAGATTTATCCAAAATAAACCAGTGTCTTTAATATACATGGAAACAGCAAATATTTATCTTGCCTAAATTTCCAAGTACTTTATCTGATATTGTTGAAGAGCATTTAAAAGAAGTGTGCTGACTTAGTTTTATGTTCACTGTAGGTTTTGTGGGTGGGCTTGAGAGCTTTGAACTTCATTTGGGGACTTTATTGTGAATAAAAAAATGTGGCCTGTCTCAGGAAAACTAAATGCATAAGAGAAAAAAATATATTAAAAGAATCATTAGGGTACAAAATACCATGGGCAAGCTATGAAGATACTGTTGGAGAGGTGTTTAAACTTCTCTATGTGAATGTCCAATCCATCAGTATACAACAGTTCCTTTCAGAATAAAATCCACCCTGGGTTAGTCTTGCATTCTAATAATACAAAATTAAGAAAACAAAGATAAATTATGCAGTTTTTTTGTTCTGTGAATTTAAGATGTCTTCAGAGCCTTTCAGTACCACCATTTGTAAGTGAATATTTTATTATTCTATTAACAATAAATGAGACAGCTGGTTTTCTGCTGGCTTTGACAAATCAAAAAGCACAATATATATGAGTGATCCATTTTTTCCTGTCTTCTTTATTCTAAAATGTTTCTCTCTTGGGGTGCTGACAATTGGCTGAACCATTAAAGGCACTTGCTTGGAGCACAGGTTGGGCTCTATGGCCCAGACACTGCTAGTTCAAGTAGATAGCTGTGTCAGCATGCATAGGCTGCAAAAGAACAAGTAAAGATTTATTCCATGATGAAAAGAGAAGAAAAGAAACAGTGTTTCGGCTGTGGAGCCTTCTTCACACCCGAAAGTATCGCTTCTCAGCATGGAATAAATCTTTTCTTGTTCCATTGCTAGATCATGTCTGTTTAAAGTCATTAACTATCTGTGACTGAGATTCCCAATGTGTCCCTACACAGCTGCAGGGATATGATTGATATGAATTGGCCAACTTCTTTCTAGCTCTTCCCACAGATGTGTCTTCCAGATTGTGTATAACCTGCAAGCTTGCACAGACATCAGTGAAAAGCAAGCCACTTCTCCAGTTGCAGCAAGTTCTTCTGCTTGACACTGAGCCATATTAGCTTGCAGTGAGCTTGCACTGAGCCATATTAGCACAGTGTTGATGGGCATGTTGGTGTGATTCCCTGCCGAGCAGGTTTAGAATTAATTGCCAAAGAGGCCAAATAGTAAAACATTTGGCAATTTTATAGCAATTCAATAGATTGCTAAAATATGGTAGCGTTCGTAGCATGAATTGGTTGAGAAATTTCTTAAATTAAAATTATAATATTTTATATGCATAAGTAGTAGCCTCTTTGAAAAGGCTTTAAAGTAATCATTTGCATGTCAGGATTACACAATCTTGGGTTATAACTCATAGGGTTTGATTAGACCTTTTTATTCTACATTGGCACACTCTAATGTAGCTGTCATCTCCAACTAAGGAGCCCTCTTCTCCATACTTCACAAGTTATTTCAGCAGTAGAAGTGCACATAATTTGGACATCATTCCACGCTTCATGTGCCTTATTATAATTGTATTTTATGTGGTATTTGGGGTTCATTTGTTCACTTGTTCATGCCAAAAGCTGGAAGCATCAGATACTAAAGGCCAGACAGCTAACTGCACCGATTTGTGTTTTGTTTAGTGTGTATTTATATTTTGGTGTTATATTGGTTTGGTATTTTGAAGTATATCATTCACTTTGTTGTTGTTCATGCAAGCTATTGTATTTGTACTAGCATCTAGGTGACCACAGAACTCTACATCACTACAAGCATATATATGTTTTTCTGTATGTGTATACTGTACCTATATACCTATATATCTCAACAGTCATATTAAGACAAGTAGAGTCTTTACGGGATTTCAAAAGATTTGTTGGATTTTCAAAAGTGCTTGAAGACTTAAAACTTAGATTTAATGTAGATACCAACAAAATGAAGTAGTGCAATGTTAAGTTACCATGAGTGTACCACATATGTAACCAAATGCTAAACTTTATAAATGACAGAATAAGAAATTCTTTACACCATTTTAAATGTAAATCCCTGAAAACTGAGTTTAAGGTATCTCTTTAAACCTTAGAAATAGAAAAATCATATACCATTTGCTTTAGATGAAATGCAAAACCTAATTGAAATTCTTTTTTTCCAAATTGTCTGCTGTTTTCCTCTGTCAAATGATTAATTTTTTGTTTCTGCTGCTATGGAGACAGAAAAAAGGCAACCAGTGCCAGTGAACCTGGTAAACAAGCAGGTCATTGCACAGTAGGCATTTTGGAGGATGTTTAAATATAATAAAGATAGGGTTGTTGATCTGTTGTGAGTAGGTAGCATATTTGTAAATAGAGAAGTGTTTTTATAGAAATGGCAAGTGGATAAAATAAAAATAGGTCGTTTTGTAAGGTGGAAGACCTGGTTAGTATATGTGAAGAATCATGAATTAATTGTAGTACTAAACTTCTGAAGGAAAGGGACACATCAACAAAAAAGCTTATTTGGCCTCAGATATATAGTATTCAGACCCTTGCACAGTTTTCACATTTTGTTGCTTTTCATTATGATGCTATGTAGTCTATGATACTATGTATAAGTACCTATTAATATGTTACACACCCTACTCTATGCATTGGAAGCAGAAAAAGTAAATACATCTATTACATGAAAAAAGGAAAATTAATGTTTGCATAATTATTCAAACCTTTTTCTGAGGTAAAGTAAATTATTGCACACAATTAGTTAAGTGGCCTCTGTTTGTGGGCTATAATAGTTCAAATGATTTTTGATTCAACTGAAGACCAAGAAGCTTTCAAAACAGCACAGTGATAAAGCTGTACATCGACACAGATAAGGAAAAGGATATAAAAACATTTAAGAGGCACTTAATATAACCCCATCCCTGCCGTCAGTTATGGTGGTAGCATTACTTTACTGTAGGTATAGTTCTGCATCTCATTAGCAGAGACTGTGAAGCTTGTATGAGCACTTTAAGATGATAATGAAGATAAAACAAATTACTGGCAAGTCTTAGAGGAAAACCTTGCTGAGACTTAACACCTAGGCAAAGAATCACCTTTCAATAGGAGAATGACCCAAAAGCTACAACAGAGTGGCTTAAAAATAAGAATCTTATTCAGAATCTGTGGAAAGATTTGAAAACATCTGTCTTGTTAAAGACCCAAAAAGACCAGTGTGTGTTATAGCATATTAATACTTGTACAGTTAACATATTTAATGTGTTTTTTTTTTGCTGAAATGTTTTGTTCCCTATCTTAAATAAGTAAGTTACAATCAAAAGTAGGCCATCGAGCCCATTTAGCCTGTTGGATAGTTATTAGTTAATGGGAACTCATCCAGCCTTTTCTTGAAAGAAACCTGTGTATCAGCTTGAACAACATGGCTGGGTAGTGTGTTCCATATTCCACAACCCTCAGATTGAAGAAGTGCCTTCTGTTTTCAGTTTTAAATGCAATTCCACTTAGTTTTCCACTAGTGCCTTCTGGTTAATGTTTTTCCTTAGAAGCCTTCAGCTTGAGCATTCAGTTTTTGAATAAAAAAATCATTCATATTGTATTATTGTGTGCATTCGTTTGTAATTTCACAAAATGGGACACCATAGGAAGGGTCTGAATACTTTTACAAAACACTGGCTGTAACGTACTACAGGTATTCCACATCTAACACAATAGAAAGGCTTGTGTGAGGTGAAACTGCATTAGACATATTGCTTTAAGATGACTAGATTTTGGTTAATGCTTTTTGGTTTTGCTTTTGTTATGTATACAATTTGCTTTATGTTTGAAGAGAAATTAATCAGCACTGTTAGAACAAGAGGGGTAGCCCTAGCACAGCTTGCTTTAATGTTGTCTGTATTTGCACAGGTGATTCACAACATTGCGTGTTTGTTCATTGTTCTCGTTTAACCTAATCACTTCAAGGTTTTGCTCTCAGCTTATTACTTTTCTAGTTCTCGTGCTGTCACTACGTCCACTGGAAGCACTCCCAGACTTCTGACCATTCCCTGTGGTTTCAAAGGCTGCAGAGTCGCCTTGCCCCTTTCTAGAGAGAATTGGGGAATCCAGCTGTGGTTTCAAATCCATGTCTATAAAATCATGTTCTACTGATGTCAGGTGATATCTTAATCCAGGGCAGTTTACTTCCTTTTACACTGGTATACCCACACCGTCCTCTGGCAGACAGAGGACAGATGAATACTGGCCCCACTGGAGTTGCTTTTTCACTGGAGAAGCAAGCAGACTAACTAAAGTGATGCTTAATCTGTGCCCAGCACGCTAAATCCAACATAAAGATTGTTCAGCATATGTAGTGCTTTTCGTGGCTCTGGATCAGCTTGTTTCTTGTAGGTCTAGACTTTAAACCTCTTGTATTATTGTTTTCACTTATTGTACTTTTTCCAGCCAGTCCTTACTAGTCAGAAGAGAGCTTCCTTCACATTCAGTTATTTTTATTACATGGTGAAACTGCCTGATGATAATTAGGTGTAATCCCACCATATATATTTTTTTTTTTTTCAAAAAAGCTGAAGTGGATTAATAAAACACATTATACTCTTGCACCACTAGGTTTTGGTCTAGTCTGACATTGGCTGACATGGTAAAGTTGCAGAATAAAAAGACATCTGAAGTGAAGCTCTGCTTAAATAACTCCTGGAGATACTCTTAGTTGAAATTAGTTGAATTCATACCAGAAGAAAGAACATCCTTTATTTTTTTTTTGCTTCAAATGAAACCCTTTCAGCATTTTTTTTTTACTTTTTGCAATTCCAGACAAGCTTGTGAGTACTCTTTGGCAACCTGCTGCATGAGGTGTTGTTACGTTTGTCTAGCAGGGCCTTTTTCTTCTGGGCCGAGCCAAGCTGTCATTGGGGTTGGATGTGCCAGTGTAAAAGAGTCTAGATTCAAAATGAAATGTGTGAGCATTCAACATGGAGTACAAAAATATGGATCCAATTAAAATTAAAAAAATCAGTTGATGAAATCATTCAACATATACAGTAACTGAAGTAGTGCAGTACAGAGTACAGAAATTGCTGGGGTTCTCGGATGAGTCACAGACTACTTTCAGACGCTAGAAAATGTTCCAGTATTACAGGAAAACTAGAATGAATATTCCAGAATGAATAAGCATCTAACCATCTAAGAGTACAGTCTGAACAGGAGAATTGTAAGGAAGCTAAGAGAGGTGGTCAGAGATTGAGTACTGCTGAGGCTTTGAGTGTCTGGTTCTATCACAGGGGCACAAAGGAGTAAAGAAAAGGTAGTATGAGGAGAGACGAGACCGGAGATAAGGGCAGAGTGATGAAGATATCAGTGGGTAAGGACAAGGAACTTTAAGCAGAAGCAGGAAGCCAGTGAACAGTCCACAGGCTGAAGCAACATCAAGAGGATGCTAAACTAGCCACAGACTTGTGGATAAGTTGAAGAGGTTGGATTCCTGTTGCAGAGAGGCCAGCTAGAAGAGAGCAGGTAGTCAGTTCTGCAGAGAACAAATGTTTAGGCAAGAAGCATGCTGCAGTAGTTTAAGAAGTGCAGAATCCATTAGATATTGTTTAGAAAAAGAAGGCAATGAATGTATTGGAGGAATGTGTAGAGAAGAAGAATGTTCTTGGCAGCAGAAGAGAAACAGTGTGGTAGTTTCAGGAGAAGTAGAAAAAGAGGGCAGAACTTGAGGGTGGACAATCGAAAAAGCGGAGATTCGAAAGGGAAGACAAACCTGAGTATTATCCGCAAAGTAGATACATTTCCAGAAATAGCCTACATTTTTGGAAATAAAGCTAACAGAACAAATCTAAAGAGAGGAAAGAGGGGGATAGTACTGATCCTTGGAGAGTGTCTATAGAGTGAGGGTGACATGAAGAGAGAGCCATACCACTAAACCTGTCTGGAGCCATCAGTTTAAAGAAAGGAGAGAATGATGGTGTCATCAGCAATGTCAGAAGCAGCTGACAGATTAAGGATAATTACAGTCGAGAGAGAAGCAATACAGTTGTGCAGCTTCTGTGGCATGTATGGAGTAAAAACCAGGCTACTAAGGGGTCAAGCAGACAGCTAATGAGGAACAGCTTGTTCAGAGACAAAAGGATGTGAAGAAACAGAAGACAGTAACAGTAGGTTGCTAGGGCGAGGAGGATTTGAGATTATTATTTTTTTAAGAATACAATTCATGCAAGCCTCTTTAAAGTCATAAAGTAACCCAGCCAGAGAGTACAGAGTTGCTGAATAGTGAAGAAATAAAGAGGAAGAAATTAAAGGTAATGGTCCGGAAAAGCTGAGCAAGGATGGGATCTGAGGCACATGTCAGTAAGCTTATGATCCAAGAACAAAGTGAAGATGGTTGAGTTAAGAATGTGGGATGTACAGTATGGGGGAGCAATCGTGAATGATAGGGAAAGTGCAAGATGTAGAGCTGGCTGTGAAGGACAGCAGGAAGAGAGATTAGTGGGTTGCAGTGTGGATGCAATGTTAAACATATTTGACTTGTCTACTGTACTACATTTGTTAAAATGTTGCAATTTCAGCTACAGTATGTATTTTCGCAAAATACACAACTCTATCTCAGGGTAGGTTTAATCTTTTTTTATAGATAAATCTTGGCTCCTTCAGTTTTGACATGAGGCAGATTGTAGTATATACCCCTGTGATTATTTTCATACTGTTACTTTCAATTGTGTGAGTTTCCTATTTTGTTCTTTTTGCTGATGACATAAAAAAAAAATCAAAACTTTTTAATTGAGAGAAGTTGAAAATGCACATATCCTGATTAATTACAGTAACATTTGAATAGAAAAACAAAGCAGAAGTATATTGGCTGATTACATCACCACAGTTGTATAACAGTTGAATTCTTATAGCTTATAATCACCTTGAGTTCATCGATGCAGTGGTTTCTGTGGAACACTACAATGAACATGAAAGTGTGTTTGCTAAAGAACACAAATATTGGTACATTCTTGTGGAAGCCGTGGTTTTCGTTAATGCTGAAAAAATAACTCAGATATTTGCACCTTTTAAAAATATAGGACTATATTGCATATTTGAGAGACCAACTTTCCCCTTCTTTCTTTGAATAAACAAAAGAATAGTTTTACTGTGCAGCAAACCATTCTGCACCATAGTCTTTGAAACACAAAACGGGAGGAAGATGTCTGGCCTTAAAACTGTTGCCATTTTGTTGGACTTGTATTTAGATGTCTTCATTCAAGTGTTTTCCACAGCTCCCAGTTATGTAGAACATTCATACAGTGTTTTGTTTCATTTTCTTAATTTCTGTTTTCCTTTATATTTCAGGGAAGTATTATCAACAGAACTAATGACATGCATACTAAGATATTGTTTTGAAATTGTTTTGTTTCCTACAGTTTGTTTTTTCTGTTGGAAAGATCTTGAGATTGGTATATTACTAATCATTCCATTAAAAGTTGCTTTTATTTGTATTGGGAATGTATAATAATATCTCTGATACAGCTACATTTGCTAAATGGTTGGTCATTTTAATTATGTAAAATGTAGAAATTAAAAAATGTGCTGAAGTGGTACTTTACTCTTTAGTAATCTCTAGGCAGAAGTAATTAAGCCCTGACGCACTGCTCCACTGTGTCTAAATACAACTCTTGCTATGTTGTTCTTATGAATGAGCTTCATACCTAGAGGCTGTACTAATCCTTGTGCCTCCTGTTTGAATATTTGGTACAGGAAGCGAGCAGCTGCAAAGCATCTAATAGAGCGCTACTACCACCAGTTAACTGAGGGCTGTGGAAATGAGGCCTGCACGAATGAGTTTTGTGCTTCCTGTCCGAGTTTCCATCGTATGGATAACAATGCAGCGGCCGTTAAGGCCCTCGAGCTTTATAAGATTAATGCAAAACTCTGTGATCCTCATCCCTCCAAGAAAGGAACCAGTTCTGCTTACCTAGAAAACAGTGCCAAAGGAGCCCACAACAACTCGTGCAGTGACAGAAAAATGAACCGGAAGGAAGCGCACGCTGCGAGAGATGACTTTAAAGGTAAGCCATTCGAGGGCGTTTCAGTGCTCTTACTGCTCACGGCGCATTGTTCCTGACCGTAACAGATCATCACCGGCGTTTGGAGTAGTGGAATACATTAATCTGAAGGAGCTGTCGTTTGACGTGAGTGCTACATTAGCTTGCAAATGTTCAAACCTTTCCTGTGACGTCCCATCTTGTATAGTTATGATGCATACACTTTTTTTATTTGGACGTTGTTCAAAACCTGAATCTTCACCTTGAAGGGTAATATAAGTTACATTAAATGTCGGCAACAACTAAAGAGAAAACACTGAAATAAGTTGTATTAGTCTTCAGACATATAGAATCAATATGCATTTCGTAATCATACCTATGAATTAAGTATTTGATGGAAACACCTTTGGCAGCATTTGCAACTGCAAGCCTCTTTGTATACATTGCTTGCTCCTTTTTACACTGGCTTAGCACACTTGGCCATTCAAGGGCATTCACTTTCTTATTCTACAGCCCTCCAGTGCAGCTTTGGATCACTCTCCTGTTGAGAAGTGAATTTTTGTCCCAGTTTTAGGTCATAAGCAGGTTTTGCTTTAAGGTTTGCCAGTACCCTACTCCATCTATGTTCCTGTCAGTCTTCACGAGCTTTCCAGTCCTTGCTGATGAGAAGCAGAATTCCAACATAATGCTTCATCTGTCATCCTTGAATGCAGGAATGGTGCTGACTGAGTGATACACTATGTTGGGTTTGTGTTAGATCCATGTTTAACCACAAACCCTTTTACTATATGTTTGCACTATTACTTAAAAGATTTGTTGCTAACCACTTATGTAATTTGAAATGGGTTTTCCACTCTGCCATACAGCTAAGCTTTGTGGAATGACTGGGGTATTGTTGACTCATGAATATATTCTCCCTTGTCAGCCATTTGCCCTTTTCCCACTTTCAAAATCACTGTCGGGCCCAGATGCTTCCCTTACCAGTTTCCTCCTTGTTCCCCTGCTCTGATTGGAGGAACAGCCTGACCTAAGCACCTGTCTGGGTGTTACATGTACCTTTCATTTATTGACTCGATTGGATATTCAGAGACTTTGATGTTTTTTCATAAAAGGACATTAAGAGACTACTGTATTTTTTCAATTCTTATGCAGTTGTGACGTCGTTCAATCAGTTCTTCCTGTTTTTTGCTTTAAAAGTACATACCAAATATAAATTGCTGCTTCAGTGTGTCTAGACTGCAAGCTTTAACGAAACAAAATAAAAAGCTGTTCAAGGGCATAGACTGTTCAAGGCACTTTAAGGAAGCACAATGTATTGTAAACTTCATGGTGAGCTTTTACCCAAGCTTTATAAAACTTGCTAGATTGCTAGAAGCTATTTTCTTTCTCCTGCCTCAAATTCGGCCCCTTCTTAATATAGAAAATGTTAACAGAAATTATTTAAAGGGTCAGAATCTTCAACCATTTTATTGATCCTGGTTCTCGGGTGACTAGATCTTAAAATTTGTTCCAGGAATAAAAAAATGGAGTTTAAATAAAAAAAAATGTTTTGTACATGCCTCAAAACAAGATTTGTGTTTGTCAGCAATTGAAAGCTTAGCTCTAGCTAATAAGGTATTGGAATGTGTATTGCACTATGATGCAATACTGTCTTTTCAGGTTGTTTGAAGACCCAAGTAATAAAGTATGAAAGTATAGCACACCCCTCCCTCCTGCTTTGCTGCATGTAGCAGTGTTGAACAAACCAGAACTTTAAGAGATTTTGGAAAAAATCGCTAACAGAAATTTCAAGGGCAAACTATATAAAAATATTTTGTCTCCACATTACTTGAAAAGGAGTAGTTTTTCTTTAGAAGGCAACTCAAAGATGTTCGGCAATGTGGCTACACATTGTAAGCTATAAAATAGCAGAACCCATCCACTTGTCAGCATCCTGTGTTCTTTGCATCATAAAAACCTCTAGCAGTTTCCCAGAAGCTGAAATAAAACCTTCTGTACATTGTTGTGTTTTGCTGTACTATGAGTTTCAGGGTTCACTTTATCCTGTCACATATTTCTGGAAAGCACAAAAACAACAGTACCAACACAAAACATACCTTTTGTACTTGTACACTACAGCAGTAAAACTCCATGTTTATACAGTATGTGTTTATGTAGTAAAAACATAGCATATTAATCATACCCTTTTTAATGCTATTTTCTTTAATCTATTTAAATATTTAAGAATTTATGTTCACTTACCAAGAATAATAAGGCATAATTAACAACACAGTGTCAACTAATAACAAAAAAAAGATACAATAGTACATTTAATAAATAACTTAGTTTATAAAGGCATTTTATGAAGACCACAGAAATTATTGTAACAAATGATTGCTTTAATGGATAAATGTTTGAAGTTGAAAGTGTTGGTCAAATTCAAAACTGAAATCTGCTGCACTCTCAGCTGCTACTAAAAGTTACTTCCTAAGTTGAAGTATGATTGAGTTTCATCTGTTGCATAGATGTTCTTGGATTGCTAAGTAATTGAATATAGTGAGAATATAGTGCTCTCATCCCACCATTCCAAAAGTGTCTTTGATCAATTTTATCAAATAAATTTTAAATGAGTGGTCTGTTTTTTAAAGTTATATCACATTTGCTCTATCTTCAAATCTGTAATTTTACAAACTCAGTCTTGGCAGCTAAGATCCATTGTGGGAAAACTGCACAGATTTGACAGTTGCTGACTGGCACTTGCCTGTTAGCTTATCTTCACAGAGTAACTGGGTGAGAGGGTGAATGTCTGTCTGCAGGTTTTTATAATGTGATGTAAAGTTGAAGTCAAAATCGTAATGTTAATTTTAAAAGCTAGGAAAACAAACTGGATATGAAAACAAGTCTGACAGTTTAAAAACAAATGCTTATTTTCTTGGAATACTTTTTAACCAGCGACCTGTAAATCACACATATGGAGTACATTCTCTTTGCTTCCATGATATGTAGTTTGATCTATGGAAGTAGACTCCATGGTTTTTGGCGCAGACTGAGTGTTTATTGGGTTTCAAGTTACCAAATACAAATATTATCTTTGATTTGAATTTCTGGATAATTCTCATCAGTGTAGTACACACGTGAAGTATGTACAACTCTGGAAGTCCATTTTGGTTGAGTTGAATGACAGGTGGAGGTGCAACAGATATTGTTTCATATTTACTTTTTATTCACTTAGGAAATGTGACAAAAAAGCATCTTGCATGTAACTTCGAATACAACAAAAAATAATGTTTTTGTTTTTCTGTCCTAGATTTGAATTACCTAACAGAGGAGAAGGTGTATGAAATCCTGGAGATCTGTGGAGAGAAAGAAGATTATTCCCCGTTGATACGTGTGATTGGCAGAGTCTTCTCTAGTGCTGAAGGCTTGGTGCAGAGCTTCCGCAAGGCTAAGCAACACACTAAAGAAGAGCTGAAGTCCCTCCAGGGAAAGGACGAAGACAAGGATGAGGATGAGAAGGAGAAAGCTGCCTGTTCTGCTGCTGCTGCTGCTATGGAGGAAGACTCAGGAGCCTCCTCTTCCAGGATAGGAGATGGTGCCACGCAAGGAGACAACAACGTGCACAAGCTTGGTCCCGACGAAGTGTCTGTGGATGTTGAGGCAGTGAGGAGGGTCTATAACAAACTGCTGGCCAATGAGAAGATAGAAACCGCCTTTCTTAATGCACTGGTGTACTTGTCACCCAACGTGGAATGTGACTTGACGTACCACAACGTGTACTCAAGGGATCCCAATTACCTGAACTTGTTTATCATAGTCATGGAGAACAGCAACCTCCACAGCCCCGAGTACTTGGAGATCGCCCTGCCTTTGTTTTGCAAAGCCATGAGCAAGCTGCCGCTCCCTGCTCAAGCCAAACTGGTTCGACTGTGGTCACAGTACAGCGCGGAGCAGATCCGTCGGATGATGGAGACCTTCCAGCAGCTTATTACATACAAAGTGATCAGCAATGAGTTCAACAGCCGCAACCTCGTCAACGACGACGATTCTGTGGTAGCTGCCACAAAATGCTTGAAAATAGTTTACTATGCAAATGTCCTGGGAGGGGACGTGGACACTGACCACAATGAGGAGGAGGATGACGAGCCCATCCCCGAGTCGAGTGAGCTGACCTTGCAGGAGCTCCTGGGGGAGGAGAGGAGGAACAAAAAGGGCCCCCGGGTGGACCCGCTAGAGACAGAGCTGGGCGTAAAGACTATTGACTGCCGCAAACCACTCATCCCCTTTGAGGAGTTTGTGAACGAACCACTGAACGATGTGCTGGAAATGGACAAGGACTACACCTTTTTCAAGGTCGAGACAGAGAACAAATTCTCTTTTATGACCTGCCCCTTTATCCTCAATGCTGTAACCAAGAACCTCGGACTCTATTATGACAATAGAATTCGAATGTACAGTGAGCGGCGTATCACTGTCCTTTACAGCCTGGTCCAGGGACAGCAGCTCAACCCCTATCTACGGCTGAAGGTCAGGAGAGATCACATCATTGATGATGCCCTTGTAAGAGTAAGTGCTTTTCTGGATTCCCTGTATGTCACTAAGCTGACGAACCGATAATTGACCATTATTGACACATCTAAGATCACAGCATAGACTGAATACAAAGAGTTGTTTGTTTCTGTTGATTCTGTTTGTCTTTAATCTGCTTTTGAAAATGTATTTTAGGTTATATATATTGTGTTGAACATGCAGTTGTTCATAGGTACAGATTAGGTCCATTCTCGATTTAATGTATTATATTTTATTAATTTTAACCTCTTTAATTATTGTCAGTGCCAGCTATATATCTTTGCACAGTCATCTACTTGTGTGTACATCTACTGTACATCTACAAGAAGAATCATCTTCTTTATGATTCTTGTCGTTTCTCGGGAACGCCCATGTAAGAGTTGTCTACACCTCTTAACCATAAGATGAGAAGCATTTTAAGACTGTGAGGGAAGTCGTTTCTTACAGAAAAAAATGTTTTTTGTAGTAACAAATTGATTACATATTTTAAAAAAACAAGTGAGGTGAATGTTCTTTCCAGGACATATAGCATAATCTTTTACTGTATTTTACATGTTAATATTGTTCGCATTGATTTGCATTCAGGAACTTCAGGTAAACGTTCAGTGCCTCTGCTAGAGGACTTTTCCAAAATAATATTGTCCTGTTAAATCAACCTGTTACAATGCATATTTTATTAAAACAGTTAAGATCATGACTCCCATGTCCCACCTAGTACAATGTGAGTTGGGCATTCCAGATAGACAGTGTGGAGCACAGCAAACATCAGACACCGAAAACCTTTCTCCTGCTAGAATGAAAAAAGGTGATAGGAACAGAGTTAAAAAAGGTGAAATCCAAGCACTTCTCACAAGATAATCTATGTTGTTAGAAAATAGAATAAAATGAAAATGATAAAATGTTTTAATGATAAGGGTGTACTGTGGACTTAACAAGAAAAAACATTCTGAATGACACTGAAATTAGTCTGTTTTTGTGTTTGATTTCTGTAGTAATTTCAACAGAATCAAAGCCTGGCACAATATTGCAGAAACAGCAGATTTAAGAAGCATTTAGTAGATTAACCAAAATTTACATCTGGCATGGGTTATTGTGAAGCTTTAAGAAGAAATATTAATTGGGCTTATATAATGGGGAATTCACAATAGTCCCACCATCAAGCTTCAAAATCCTTTTTTAATTGTTGAATGTTACTAGTGAATGCAAAGCTTGTAATTCTTACTGGTTTGTGTACTTGAGTAGATGTGAATAAAATAACTGACAATTTGTTATCTTTTTGATGTTCATGTGAATTATTCTATATGTCTTATGCAAGGTTTGCACTAATTCGTGGGTGGCAATTTTGAATTGCTCCTTTGGCTTATTGCTTTCGAAAACCTAAACATCTGTATCTCATGAGCTGCTACCTATTTTTATAGTAAATACTGATTTTACCTTTAACTCTGGATTTTGTAGTAATTTTCTTAAGGTTGAAACCTGCTGTGTGTAAAATGCTGTTTGTCTCAGGTGTCACTCCATAAGCACAAAGCTATTATCTTAGATGGAGATTGAGAACATTAGCAGTTAAGTTCATCACCCAGATATGTTGCTTTTTTTTTGCTTCTCATAACTACCAGAAGCTGTACAGTGCATCTGTATGAGTCAAAGTACAAGAAGTCTTCTGAGGAGAATTTCTTGTTAAAACTGATGTTGATGATGTGTCCTGCTGTCAGCAATATATAGCTGAAGGTGTGTCGGGTTTTATTAGGTTATGTTTTTACTTAAAAGTGAAATGCATTTGCACTGTCAGGACCTTGTTTTAAGTTGTATGCTAGTAACTTGTGATGTTAAGCTTATGTTTGTGTAAAAATATTAATCAAATGGGATTGTTTAAATAGAATATTTCTTGTCCTTCAGGGAAAATGATGATGTGTTTGGACGGTGGCTGACAAAAAATGTTCCTGGTACTTTGACTCCAACCTGTGTTGTTTTATAGCTTGTGCAACCCCATACTTAGTGTCTGTTCTTTTTTGCACTGCAGCTTGAGATGATTGCCATGGAAAATCCTGCAGACTTGAAGAAACAGCTGTATGTGGAATTCGAAGGAGAGCAAGGTGTAGATGAAGGAGGAGTTTCCAAAGAGTTCTTTCAACTTGTGGTAGAGGAAATCTTCAACCCCGATATCGGTAATCATTCTCCACAGTGTTTATTGAAATTTGCAAGACTAATTCCTAACTATTTCTCATCTAAATTTGTGTTACCTGTTTGTGTTTGGATTTTTTTTTCCCCCTTATGTTACATTGCCTGATACGGTGACTTAAATATACTGTCAATTGTGGTGATGTGCCACAAGCATTTTATTCCTATTAAAATTAAGGTTAAAGTAAACTGCTTGAAATGATGGACTGTTCCAACTTGGTTGATAAACAGCATTTATTATAATACTTCTGCATTTCTAGTCAGGTATTGACATTGTGTGAGAGCGTCTGTGATTGCGTTAAGAGTCAGTATCATCTCTTTTCTGTTGTTTTGCTAGTTATATTGCTTGTATTATTATTTCCTGTTTTGTTATGTGGTAATTTTTCATGTTCTTCTTTTTAAACAAAAAAAACCTCTTCTTTTAATAAGCGCTGAAAATTCTGTGTAGACATCTGCTTTTTATTGGGCTTTTATCTGTATTCAGTAGGAGACCGGGAAATAAAACTGATCCAAAGCATTCTGAGGTCTTAATGCATACACCTATGTTCCACATCCTATGATATCGCTATTAAAAATATTTAATGCTAAACAGTTATACCTATTTCTTTTGTGTAGTTTTGTGTCCAGGACCCCCTGTTTTGTTTTACTTTCTTTATTATTTTTTCTTAGTTTATTACGTTTGTAAGTAGGTACACATTTATAGCTTTGAAGAGAGTGCAGGTCTGTAGGTTTCCCTCTGTGACGCAAAGTTTATCTTAGTAGAATTGGGATAGTAGTTTGGAATCATATAGCTTAAAGTGCAGTAACCAGATAAGGTGTAAAAACAAGATGATATGAGATGGTAATCTGTTAAGATGATTGTATTTGTTCAACATGGACTTTATATAACACTATAATCTTTCTTTTGCAGGAATGTTCACATATGATGAAACAACCAAACTGTTTTGGTTTAACCCTTCCTCATTTGAAACAGAAGGCCAGTTTACTCTCATTGGTATTGTTCTGGGCCTTGCCATTTACAATAACTGTATCCTGGATGTGCATTTTCCCATGGTGGTCTACAGAAAATTAATGGGTAAAAAAGGAACCTTTCGGGACCTGGCAGATTCTCATCCGGTAACTGAAGACTTTGATTTTTTTATACTCTTGAGAACTCCAGAAAATTGTTTGGTGGTTTGCAGTGTTTTTTATGTGAAGTGTCCGTCTGTTAAAATTCTGTGCTACAGCCTTTTTTTTTCAGCATAACAGAATCTTATTCTTAAGTACATCTCACCTCTATAAATAGGAAAATTATTAAATCTCTGAACATCTTTAGTTTCTTATCTTGTAATTCTGAAGTTTGGATCTTGTGTACAATGCAGGGATTTCATGGAGTTTCTTTTTAGAAAAGCAATGTTTTACAAAAGCATAATAGAATCAAGGTATTTCAGTGGTTTTATTTAATTGCAATTACAAAAAAACAGGATTTAAGAACATCAAGGACTGACTATTTGAAGATAAAGATACACCAGATAAAAATGAAATTCTTTATACAGGTAATACTTTTGGATAGACTTAAGATGCTCTGTGCTAATGTAGCAAATTTCCTTTTTTACAGCTTTTAAAGCACTATTACCAGTTTGTGTTTTTATATGCCTGTATTTATAAAGATCCAGTCATTTTTGTTCAGTTCTCCAAGATGCAAAAAGTATCAATTAATAACATGATTTTGCCGGGTATCATATTTTTGAGAGATTGGAGTTTTTATGAATCACAATTTATTGTTCAGTTGCAGCTTAGAGCCTTTGCATGGCTAGTGTGCCTGCTCTTCAGCACTCACTCACCTCATCCCTTTCCTGTTCAGGTGTTGTTTCAGAGTTTAAAAGAGCTTCTGGAGTATGAGGGCAGTGTGGAAGAAGACATGATGATAACTTTCCAGATATCGCAAACTGACCTTTTTGGCAACCCTCTCATGTATGATTTAAGGGAAAATGGAGACAAAATACCTGTTACTAATGAAAACAGAAAGGTATTTAACAATTGTAACTAAAACATTCTACATCATAACATTTAACACGAAGTTAGCTCAGTATCTTTTCACTGTTTTCACTGTAGACCTGTAGTATTTTGATCACATTTTGAAAAACAGGTTTGACTTTGAATTACTTTTCAGTTTCACTAATGACCTTTATTTTGCAGGATTTTGTTACCCAGTATGCAGAATACATCCTCAACAAAGCTGTCGAAAAGCAGTTTAAAGCCTTCCGAAGAGGGTTTCATATGGTCACAAATGAATCCCCTTTAAAATATTTATTCAGGCCTGAGGAAATTGAACTGCTTATCTGTGGAAGCAGGGTAAGGCCACTGGATTCTGGGAAATACTTTCAGTCTTGTCATTACCTGTTTTTTCAAGCCCCAAAAATGTAAATGTTGTTTTGTTGTTTAAAACATAGAACCTAGACTTTCAAGCACTTGAAGAAACAACAGAATATGATGGAGGCTACAACCGAGACTCTCGTATTATTAAGTAAGTCTTTCATTTAGCTTTTATGAATTTTTTGTGGTGGAAGGAAACAAATTTCCATATTTATATGTGACAGAGCTAAAATCATCTCTAGTCAGTTTATCATTTTTAAGACCGCTTAAATAGTTGGATAACCTTAAAATTTTACTTTTCTTGTGAAATTGTTTGTCATCTGTAATCACTTCTTCACACTTAAGAAGGCCAAAGTGAATATTTGTTTTAAAAGCCGAACAGGAGCAGTTAGTGACTTTCAAAGCTTCAAAGCAGCCATATGTAAGTGAATATGGCAGCATCCTGAGACTGGGTTTAACACTGAGAATAATTGACACTTTGGAAGAACGTTCTGGGATTGTTAATATCCATCCGTTTATATTCACCATGTTTTAAAACATGGCAGTCTTCATAGTTTTACTATTATTGACCTGGTATAGTTTTTTCTAAGTGTTTTTGAATTGAAATATTGTAAGAAAAAACAACCCTACTTGGCTTTCTTATGTGATTAGCCAAAGATATTGAGGAGGAATAGTAAGTATCTTCGAAGCTGTTCAGCGTATTTGCTTTTTTCCATCACTGTTCTAACTCTAACATTGATGGTCCAATACATTCTGCTGATTTTTAAAGTCTTCAAGTAAACCTCCAGTCCAGCCAAGGCCAGATTCCATAGGGCAGAGTGATTTCTCTCTTCTGTCTTTTAAATTGCGGAATTATAATTCTTTTCATGCATATCACATTTGCTGTCACTTTCTGCAGACTAAAACTGAACATAAAGATGTTTGTAAAGAGACTGATTTAAAACTAATAAACATAATTTATCACAGAAAAAGAGTAAGCTCAGAATACAATAAAAAACATTTTAATTGCTTATTTTTGTAGGGACTTTTGGGATATAGTTCATGCTTTTGGAGAGGAACAGAAGAGGCTCTTTTTACAGTTCACCACAGGCACGGACAGAGCTCCTGTCGGGGGGCTTGGCAAACTCAAGATGATTATAGCCAAGAATGGCCCAGATACAGACAGGTAAGATGGTTAGCAACAGGAGGAGATTAGACTGGAAACTAAAGAAAGATTTGCAAAAGTAAATCAGAAACAGATACATTTTTGCAGTGTCGCAGTCATATCCAAAATTAAAACTTCTCATCTTCAGTGTTGGCCTTCACTGTAATTTAGTTGGAGGAAGCTTATGTTAATATAGTGTATGAAAGTACTTTTTATAAGGTGGTTTTTAAAGTATTATTTCAGTTGTTTTGCGCAGAAAAGTCCAGTACAACAATTTCAATAGTTCATCACCACCTTATCACCCTAACCACGTCCCCTAATCTCACATTACGCCCAAATTTATACCCACTTTGAGACACATGTAGAGACTAAGGTTTCTAAGCTTTATCTTAAAGGAGCAGTTTTTACACATTTATATTTAAAAAAAATCATAATTCATAAAAGTCATAATTCTGTGAATCCCTGCATTTCAGACGTACTTCTGATCTGGTTGCATGATGAGTTGCTTCTCATTTTGTGTTCTCCAACCCTGGTCCTGGATAGCCCCAATCCCACAGGTTTTATAGGTAACCATTCAATTTCTAAAGATTTAGAAGAACTCATTTCTGATCATTTAAGTAGAGAGTGTTAAACTAAGTAATTAAGAGATCATTTAGATCAAAAATCAGAATGCACTTCAGCCCTGAAAGACCAAAGTTCCCTTACCTGAAGAGATATCGTAGATGTTCCCAGTCCTGAAAGCAATATGCTTCATGGTGACCTATAAGATGTACTGGATTGGAGTTCTCCAGGAGCAAGAATAAAGACTTCTCTTGTGGAGTCTTATGCATCTAATGCAAAATTAATTCTGAACCATTATTTAACCTAAATTTAATAGTTCAACTATCATAATTATGCAACTCTTTCCCCTGCTCTTAGGCTTTTCTTCCAACAACTGTGTGCAATAATATCTTTTATATACAAATGTTTTGTATTCTTGTACAGTACTGAGAAAAACTGGGTTCTGTACTGTAGTACATGCATTTAACAAGTAAACACTCTAAATGCAATAAAACTGAGAATAAAACAAACTGAGACATGACCAACTGTATTAAAAAGACAAGTCTTTATGAGAGCTTTATAAGTGTCCACTTAGATAAAGTTCCAGTTTATCTAGAGGATTTGGGCAATGAGCCCCACAGATCTGGTGTTGTACAAGATAAAATAAGAAGACCTTATTTTCAGTTTTCAGTTTACGTGTTTGACCATGCAATCTACTCAGTAGGTCCTTCAGTAGTGCCTGAAGGTAACCTGGAGATAGAGTATTCTTTGCTTATTTGTAAGCAGCAGAACCTTAAAATCCACTCTAAATTTCACAGGGTCCAGTGTAATTTACACAGCAGTTACATACTGAGGCATAATAGTTTTAGTTGGCACACAAAACTCAGAATTCTGGACACACTGAAGTCTGTTTAGTACTTTAATAGATTGTACAGTAGGTAAGGTGTTACAGTACTCTAATCTTGTTGAAGATGTGTAACTATCTCAGCATCAGACAGAGCAAGGACCTTATCCAGGCAGTTGCGCAGATGGAAAAAAAAGATATCCTTGTGACGTTTCTAAGATGGGCTTCAAATGACAACATAGGGTCAAAAATAACATCAAGGTTTCTAACTTCAGTCAAGGGTTTAATTTCAGCATCGTCAATGACCCTCAAATCACTGACTTTGCATAGCTGTTGTTGGGAGCCAGTAAGCATTCCAAAACATGTAAAGACCTGAGGCTTATGTGTGGGACATACTGAAGTTGTCATTAAAACTTTGTACTTGACAACATTTTCTGCAATTTTGATTTCTCTTGTTCTTGTACAAATAAAATATTTTAATTTCTGTTTTTTTTTAGCCTTTTTATTTAATATAATCCATGTTAAAAAGAACACATGCAGAGAAGTGTTTTTGGGTCTTGAATTGGAAGAAATGTTTTCAATGTTACTTAAGACAAATGTGTAACTCATTGCTCTTTCCCTAGGTTACCAACATCCCACACTTGCTTTAATGTCCTCCTGCTTCCCGAGTACACAACTAAGGAGAAACTGAAAGAGAGACTTTTGAAGGCCATTACATACGCCAAAGGCTTCGGCATGCTGTAAAAGATGCATTGGTGTAAAGAGGGGATATTGCAAAGAACTAATTGTTTTTGGAAGTTATTGTCCCTATAAGAAAAAAAGAAAACAAAAAACAATCAAAAAAACGGCCATGCAGTAGTGAGCTCCAGTAGTCTGTGTCTGTACCTCCCTTCCCTTCTGAGGGCAGTGGGCTTGAGCAACAACTTGTACTGTTTGTATGATCAAACTTTTTTTTTTCTCGTTTGTGTGAATGTTACATATTCCTTCTCATGTATGTACAGAAAAGATTTGTTTTTCCTTACTATTTATTTTAAGGGTTAAATCAGTTTCCTACAACATCTACTTGGAGTTGAGCCTTTTGTTTTTTCTTTTCTTTTTTTTTTTGTGCGGAGGGAGGGATGGGAGTATTTCAAAGAAGCGAAACTATTCTCCCTGGGAAATCTTGCCATTATTTGTAAGGCAAAAAGTATCTTGTAGTCTCCAGCTCTGCCACCTTACCTTCTTTGTAACCTCATTCGTTGTGGAGCTGTGGTGTTCTTCACCAGTCTGCTTTGGATCTTCAAACATTGGACATGGTGTAATATGAATAACTGCTGTTCTGGCCTCACTGAGACTCCAAATTTTTCATGAATAAAGATGGAAGGGAGACCTCGGAATGTTAAGAAACTGAAGCTTTGAGAATTTTTCTTTAGCCCCAGCACAAAAAAGAGCCCACAAAGCCTGTCTCACAGTTATGTCCTTCTCATAAGTCTAGTAATTGCAATAGTGTTTATTACATGTTGATCATTTGTAAAAGGTCTAACTTGTGCTTTGAATTTTTACTCAAAAAAGATGCATTTTCAAGCAAACAGTACAGAGTGCTGCAGAGAAAAAAAAAGATTGTTGTATAATCATTAAGCGTGTGAAAGTGCACTTATAAAAAATGTTAGTGGATTGTATTAACTGCCTGTTATCATGATTTTTTTGAACATCAATCACAAGTCTTCCCAGCTTTCCCTTGTTTTGACAGTAAGAGTTTCTTACTTACACAAGTTATTGTCAGGAAAAAAATATTTTGAGGTATCTATGTTTATGATGTCACTGCATTCATTTGTAATGCCATTTGGTAATTTGTGCTGCTGCTATAGGCCAGTGTCCTGCATCTTGCTTTAAAACTAAAAGGTGTTCTGTCTGGAAAGAAAAGGTTATTAACATCTTTATTAACTGTGAAGTTTTTAAATTCTGACTTTTTCGTTTTTTGGAATTAGGAGATATTAGTTTACTTTAGTTTACTTTACTTTTTGGACCTTCTAATTTCAAATGCACATTGGTCAATTTTTATTATTTTCTGAGCCCCTAACATGTGAGAAATACTTTGAAGTAAAAGCAAATATGTACATACTTTAAAAATTGTGAGAGCCAAATGTGAATTTCCATCCAAATTTAGCTATAAATTTCTTTATACCACTCATCCACTGCACAGTTCCTCAGACACAGATACTGGAAGGTGTGTAACATTTACGGCACTATACAAACATTCAATATATTAAGAACAGCATGAAACAATTTTCCATATTAGATATTCAGTGGGAAAAACATAGTGACCTTACATCAACAATGTGCCCTGATCCATGTTTTCTGTAGCCCAACCTGTTATCCTCAGATGCTGTGTTTCTGCAAGTCCCAGAAAAAATACAGCTCAGCAAAAAAGCAAAGTGTTTTTAAGTTTCTGAACTAATCTGTAAGGGAAGTGATTAATGGTTCGTGAATGGTTTATTTCAACAGATTTCGTCTAAAAAAATGCGGCTAAAAAAGTAACACATGGTGTGTAAACAAGTTGTTAAATAAAAGTGACAGCGTTTTTCATCATGTCTATCTGGAAGTGGTGATTTTAAGCATTTGGAGCCCCAGAGTTCTCATGAAAAGTTGTGGTGGTTTAGAGGTGATTTCCTTCACAGTGTTTGACAAGGGCACAGGAGGGGCGAGCCGGAATTACCTCAGGTTTGATCAACGTCAGCAAGTCAGATGGGAAGTGTCACATTGAGAACTATTTTCAGACTGGTCAGATGTACTTCATCTTTGATATGTAAATTGATCAAGTGATGCATATTTTATGCAAGAGAGAAGTGAGATTCATGTTCGTCTGCCTTTGATGTATGATTCCTCTTCCACGTCTGTCGAAGGGAATGGTGTACAAGAAATTATACCTAGACATACCAGTCACTTAATGAAATCAGGCCAATTAAAATTTGAGCATTGAGTTAGAAGATGCTTTTCAATGTACCTGATATCTTGGACACCAATTTAACTTGATTGCAATCTGAGGGTCTTATTTTGATGACCAGGATCCTTCAAAGTTTTATTTTGGGTTTTGACAGTTGGGCTATCTTTGTACTGCACTGCTGTACATGCCATGTCACATACGGTAAAATAACTTTTCCAATTGGACATCAAATTGATTTTTAAATGCTTTAAAACCCGAGTTTTAAGGAAAATTTAGAAAAATGCAAGTTACTAAGCGACATTAAAAATTCAATAAATGCTATTGCTTTCAATACTCATTCTTTGCCGTTTTTAAAGCCAATCTGTTTCTAAATATTCAGTAAGTACTGGCTTTGAATTCTTCCTTTGAAAAAAGATAGCTTACATTTTTTTTTATAACTAGCTCATGCTTCCAATGAATCAAAAAATAATCGTTCTAAATTTTAATTCTGTTAATGCTGGTTGTTCATTTTTAAAGAAGAGTACTTCAGTCGTGTTCAAACTTTGCCCTGCCTTCTCTCTGATGTCTTACCTTTGAGAATGACAAAAGGCCATTCTTAACTTTATCAAACTTTCTGAAAATATTCAGCATTTTAGCAGCTGTGCATAAGCAGTATATAAGTCTTGTTACACTGGAAAGCTTTGTCCTTCAAATTTCCTTGAGAGTGCAAGTGGATCTATAGATTTGATATAATCATACTCTGATGAACCAACATGGGAAGAGTATAGTGCACATTTCTAAACCTGGATACTAACAGTAATTACACTTCGTCAGGTTCTTAATCTCTCTATATTTCCTTCTTTCCAAAGACAAGTGTTTGTATTGTTCATTCCCAAACTACAGCATTAAAGAGTAGTCTGGGAAATCAATGTATTAATATTTTTTCTACCAGGTGGCATTTTAGAGTATGACTATTTCATATTTAGTTTTTTTTTAGGTTGATTGGTTTCTTCCATTATTTTTAAACTTCTGTTGTGATATGTTTCCATCCATCCATTCATTTTCTAACCACTTTTTTACAGGATCACATGGGAACCAGAGCTTATGCAATAGGTCTCACAGAACAATAGATAATAAAAGAAGAAAAAAAAGACTTTTTGTGATGGAGTGGACAGCATTTAATTTCTAATAATACAAAAGTAATGATACTCTGGCACTGTTAAATGATCCAGCAGTTGCTGAAATTTCCATTTAACAGGCAACTTTCAGTTCATTATTCTTTGAGGAACTGTCTTGTTGAATGAAGTGGAACTATTTTGTGCACTGCAAAAGCTGCTCTAATCCTTTTCTGGATTTTGAATTAACAAGAGTTTTCTCCTTTCAAGTTAGTGTTAGTAAGAATTTTAACAGAATAAAGCAAAACAAATCTTAATATTTAAGATGGTGTGTTGTAGTTTATTTTTTGTCAATGAGTCATTGTTTTCAACTTGATTAAAACCTTTGATTCTAGTAACAGCTGTATAAATGGATGACCTCATTTGGTCAGTATTTTGACAATGTCTACTGTATTGTGGGCATCCTTCTGATCGTTAGCACTGCCATTGGTCCTTCAGATGTTATACCAAGGTCCTGACTACTTGTTCATAAAAGATCACATGGCACTATTTGGTACAGGGTTTTTAACTCCAGTGTTGCGGCTTCATTTCTAATCTGAGCTAGCATAATCCGGCCTCCTTAAATTTCCCCCTTGCTTCAACTGGTAAAGCAATTTGTTCCTTCTGATCAGGTCTGTGGTTGGGCCCATTGCTCATAATGACTGCGGCTCGTCACCCCAGCACCAAAGCAGGTGCTGAACTTCACTGGTGAAAGAGGTGATGCCCCTCCTGTGATGTGTGAGGTGCTGTGAGATCTCTTGTATTTAAGCACTAGGTAAATACTTGCAATTATTATTAACAATTTGTTTTCCTAATTTATTATTGAAAGTAAACACGAGGAAGATATGAAGTGACTCTTTAAAAGTGGCATTGTGATTAACTGCAGAGATGGAGTTCATTCTAATGTGAAATAGGCATTTTTATAACCAGGTGTTCACATATACCTACGTACTCTTCCGTCACATTCTTATGCATATCAGATCTTTGAAATGTGCGTACCAATAAACTATTGAAAATGTCGCTGTAAAACTAGACTGTAAAAGCCTTGTACATGGGCATACAGTATGTACACGTCTGTAAACGTGGGCACTGAAATAAATCCTTGTAAAGCAAACCAAATAAAAACAAAGCTGTAAAGCTAGGGAAACATGTTCAGGGCAGCACCAGTATGAGTTCTGTTTTTTTAGGTTTTAAAAAAAGTCTGCTGTTCGGAGGGGGAAAAAGCATTAAGAAATCTCGTTTAAGTGTGAAATTAGGTCCAAATTGGAAATGAGCTTATGTAGGTGTAATTAATTCAAATGTTAAAGGTGAGTCTTACCTTCTAGTCTTAACAACACTGTGACTTGGCCAGTGGCCAGTGATGGTGGGCTTCATGCTCACCTCAGTTTGACGTTTGCATTCCGCTTACATGCTTTGTGATTGACGATTAACTATGACATCTCTGGAATTACGCAAGAACCTGCCAGAAAAATCTGATATTCCTCAGCGATCCTCAGTTTAAATGGTTAATGAAGACTATCAGATTTCACCAAGAAAATTACTTTTGTAATGGTAGCAAGGCGGAGAGGGGATGATCTAAAAGTCTGCTTTCACTGTTGCTTGGACTTCACTGATTCAGTTTTCTGACAGGATTTAAACTTTAATAAAGAGCCTTTATAATATATTTTTAATGAAGGTCTTTAATAAAGAGCCTTTATTTGTACAGTTCTGTCATGATTAAGGTAAGGTAGGCTTTATGATGAAGCATATAACCATCCAAACTCCATTTCAAACAGCAGTTTAGTTATTGTTTAATTCACCCACTAGCACCCTCTACTGTTAGCTGAATATAGAATATTTTTACTGTACTGTGCACCAAAATAAAACTTAACTCTCCGTGCATGTATGTTTCCAGAGGAATACAGTTACAGACTATACAGTATATTGATTCATTGATTTTGACATCACTCTGATTAATTTGATTAATTGCTCACTCATGACTGGCTGTGATATACTGGTGTTGCATATGCAGTAATATATCAGCTTACTAATGAGAGATCTGACTGGGCACAGGAGGTGAGGTGATTAAGATAGCCTGTTGGATGCCATACCTGGGAAACGAAAAAAAAATACAGATGGAAACTAAAAAGCCTGGCCAATCAAGAAAGTAATGTCTTCATGCCAGTTGTGTGTTGGAGGCTGAAATTACCTCACCTCAAATGGACTCACCTGCAGGGGTCAACTCTTCTTAAGCAATGGTTTGATGTAGAACACACTGATGGATGTCTGTGAGTTTGAGAACACAGTACATAACAAAAGTGTACTGGAACAATTAGCATCCGGTACATTTTTAGTCCCAATCAACATAAGCATATGTAGAATTAGTAAAATGTAAGAAATCTTTTTTCTGTGTAACCTTGAAATCAACTGCTGTATTTCTACCAACAAACCTTTATTTTAAAACATTTTTAGGTGTTTTTTTTATGTAATCTTTTATATAGCATAGTTGTGTAACCTGTCCACCCTGTGGTCTGAACTCCAGTTGCTGTTCTATAAGACTTGGATACATATTTCATGAGCAAGTTAAATTCAGGGATGAAAGGCATTGATTATGTTGTATTTTATGTAAAGAAATATTTTAATTATTTGTTTCTAATATAAACATATATTTTAATTTAATATAAAACAATAGTCTGTAACAGTTTTAGGCAGTCATTTTGCCCTTGTAGAACATAATAGTCAGGTATATTTATTTTTTTACTGAACTAACAATTTAAAGCTGTGCATTTAAGATACTATCATCATCATTTTTAATCCATATCATTATAATAATGGAAATTAGAACAATAACAGAAATCTGGAGTCTTACACTCAGACCAAGCAGACGGCACTCCTTTTCCATATGGCAGGTAGTGACCAGAAAAAAATAATTCACTTTGGCATGTTTTTTTTCTTTTTCCCAGCTCATCGTCCTTACAAATTGAACTGTATTGTTTAGGCGTGTCATGTGAAGCGTGGATCACGTGGGGTTTGGTCATTAACAGAAGTGACGTTAAACGTTGTGCAGTGTGGGTTGTTGTCAATCCAGTTTCTATCCTCCCTGTTCTCCTTGGTGATCACAGCACTGTAGCTGTCCAAAAACAAAACCTCAGCAGAAACATCTTTCTGGGAAAAATCCCATTCCAGTGGCTTCACGGTGATGCTTCTGCTATCCATCTCTTTTCCAACAAGAAGCCATTTTCCATGTTCTTCCTCCATGGCTGACTGTAGTGCCACATCCCTGATCTTTTGCTTGCTGCTGTTTAAGCTTTCCTGCAGCCTTTCTGAATAGTAATCACTTAACGCTGTACACTGCTGCTGCTTTAGACCCTTGACGCGATCAACAAAAAGGGTCATCTTGTCACCAAAGTCAAGTTCTTTTCTAGAAGCAACAGGTTGCATGACCATAGGCCATGTCGTCTTCTCTTCTCCAATGGTGCTTAATAAAGAGCCCTTGGAGTCTTGCTTTTTAATCTTTGGGTTGACATGAACCTTACCGTTCTTGACACTCACAATGTTTTCCTCCCCCACAGAAGTCGCCATGTTGCCTTTTGCAGTGTTACTGCCCTCATCCTTGCGTTCTGTGATCGGCTCTGCAGACTTGGTCAGCATTTCCATATCTGCTGGGAGAGTGACGAGAGCAGTATGAGGACGAGCATTTAAAGATTCTTTCAGGGAAGGCAGATTGCTCGAGGTGTGGGGTCTAGACTTTAGAAATGCAACTCTTTTGTCACTGTTTTTCCTCTCAGGTATTGCATATGTGCGCTCTGCATCCTCCTGTTGGTTGTTTCCTTTAACACTCTGTTCTGCTCTCTCTCTGTCCTTGACAATCTGAGAGTGGATTTGTGTGCCACATGCAGACTTCACCTGGCGTGATGCAGAGCCTCTAGTATTTGAATATCCAGCGCTTCGTGATCTCTCCCTTGCAGCCATTTTCACAATCTGCCTCACTGCTTTTTCATTGTCATCCACAACAGTGGTGTTGAAAGAAAAAGCTCTGGTTTTCAGCTGCTGCAATAGATCTTTGTTGTCCGTCTGTCTAGCATGTGCTAGCTCTGATCTTTTAAGTTTTATTTGGAACCTGTTATATAAAATTCTTTGGTCAAGACTATAATAAGCTTCTACCTGTTTCTTCATGGATTCCAAGGTATTCAGCCTTTTCTTCAACATCATTTCCTCCTTCCAGTTAAAGGAAATGATAAGGGGAGATCTCTCCGAATCTCTTACTTTAGTTTTCATTGTCATTTTGCTTTCCTGGTCACAAAGTTCTGGTACAAAAGATTGCTTGAAATTTTGTCACAATCAAAAAGTCAGATATCTGCAGCCTGATGAAATTTCAAATATATCCTATAAACACAACCAAGAAGCATTACAGTCCATTATGAATAGATCGCTTTGGATTTTTACCACCTGAGTGCTGTTGGTTGTTGTTAGCTGTCTTTGCAAACCCAGCCCTCAAACCTCATTGTTTGTTGCCAAGGAACTAGTTTTAATGTTTGGTGACATGAAAGTTTGCTTAGGGCTTCTATGAAGATGATCTTGTATTACAGTGGCGTTCTTTTATGCGCAAAGCAAATCAGGAAATTCCACATTCCAGAACATGCATTCACAGAGGGGAAAGTAAGTTTTTGTGAGAAATGATCATTTTACTGATATATTATCCTCTTTAAAAACCAAAGATAGTGTAGCTCAAGCTCATTGGCACAACAGAATCACATGCTGTATTTACCAGAAAAGCATGTACAAATCAAAAATGTCATGGACAGCCCAATCATACTACAACCTGGAACAAGAAGATTGCATGATGTTGCTGTGAAATTGGCGTCCTCATAAGAAGTGATCCCAGACTTTTATAGCTCCTGTAAGAGCAGAAGACACTTGAAAACTTCAACCTGTCTGCAACTGGCTCTGGACAGATATTGAAGCCCATAGCTTTCTAATTTGTTAAGACATTTGGTTTTGGCATTTCAATGAAAAAAAATCAGTTTAACAAACAAAAGTGTAAATCTCATAGTAAATGCAGTCAAAAAGTTCAAACATTGATGTTTGGAAAAAAAAAACTTTTATTGGGATCTAAAAGTTTTTAGCAAAACTTGCGTGAATAAAATGACATTACACACATTTATATAAATGCAAAAATAGTACATATTAGGTCAATCTTAAAATGATCTACCCAGGTTATGAAGTGTCATATGCTGATTTTGTCTGTATGGTGGTCTATGGATACATACTGTATACATACACCCCATTCTCGTGTCTCAAGATTTCAAGATTTTAACTTCAATTTCTTGAGTCTCTTTTTAATAATAAGATTAATTTCAAGACAACTATTTATTTTCACCTTAACCTTGCACCAAGATGTCCAGCTTTTTGCTTGTAAAACATTCATACAGCACTTACTCTAGAACAAAGTCCTCTACATCCTTATATTTCATAAATATCTTAATCAATAAAACCGCCAATAAACAATTTTGGAGTATTGCAAAACTATACTTTTGGCAGTATAATCCTTTTTTGATAGGAGCTACACTGCAGTATCCTGAGGTGCAAAACTAAGGTTAAAAGCACAGGAAGCTTATGGTTGGACATCTTCCATGAATTTTAAAGATTTGCATTAAAGATGAAATGAAAATATTGGATACACATTTGTTAATCAAAGCACATGATGGCAGAATCCAGTCGGTATAATTTCTTCAGCAGGCATAATACTGCCTTTACACAATCTAAGCTTGCTGGAAACAACCCCCAGTCCTGTTATACACTGCGTTATACCACACAGTTGTTTTAAGTGAAACAGTAATATAGAGAGTTAACAGAAATTAAAGCTGAGAATTATAATATTACTACAGTATGCACAGAATTGGCCATAGTATTTTTTGAAAATGCTGTCCATAAGCATAGACATATTGATTTTGAAAGACAGTACATCCTTGGTCACTGTTTGAGAGCTATTCTGTTTGAATTATGCTTTTTAGAATGAGCTGTTGTTTTTGTTGGGCTGTAGACAATATAAATGGCTTATGTACAATTGAGTACATATAGATAATCTCTATGCAAGAAACATGGTTTTATTTTTTAGCATATAATTTAAATAAAAAAATCAGCTTTGAAAAGTATTAAACTACATTGTTTTTATTTGTTCTGTATTTACAAAAAAGAGCAGTAACCCTAGCTCAGAGTACAGTTCTGTTTGAAAATGCAAAAAAACAGCATAACACCCTTTATTTGTCCTTTTTCTCCTCTTCTTTCGGCGCTTCACTGTCTGCTTCATTACCATCACAGAGTTCTCCACTCCCCAGCGACTTCATTTTGGTCTCCATTTTTGTAAGTCTCTGCTTTAGCTTGACCTGGCTGGAGGTGAACTCTGCCATGAGTCTTGCAAATTTGGTCTGCATGAGGTCGAGAGAGGATTCCAGGTTCTCGACCTTTTCTTCCAGGTCTTTCGGGTCCCCGCTTTGGTTGGCGACTTCCTCGTCTATCAAACCATCTTTCATTAGAATGGCTTTCCCCTTCTCCTCCAGAGCTTTTTTGGCCTCTGGGTATTCTGTTAGGGCCTCCATTAAGTCGTCCTTGGAGAGACAGAAGAGGTCAGAATAGCCAATGCTCCGAATGTTAGCAGTTCTTCTGTTGCCCGACTTGCTTCCCTTAATGTTTAAGATGCTGATTTCCCCAAAGTAGCTGCCATCACTCAAGACGACAAACTGCGTGACTCCGTCGTCCGCCACCACAGCCAACTTTCCCTCTTTGATAATGTACATTTCCCTTCCAATGTCCCCCTTGCGGCAGATGTAGTCTCCGGGGCTGAACACCTGCGGCTGCAGCTTGAGCACCAGCTCGATCAGGAGACCGGCTTCGCAGTCCTGGAAGATGCGCACTTTCTTCAGTGTGTCCAGGTGGACGTTGATGGCGATCTCAGCTTTCAGTTTGTCTGGCAGGTTCTTCAGGACTTCTTTTTCGTCGCACGTTTTCTTGTTCGTCCACAGGTAGTCGAACCACTTGATCACTCTGGCTTCCAGGTCTTTTGACACTTTTCGGAATTGCATGTACTGTTTGATGGAGTCAATTTTAGCCTGGAATTCTGCTCTGTTGGCATTCATGTTGGAAATCATGGCACCCACATTACCGACGATAGTGGCAAAGATCAGCACCCCTATTAGGAAGTCGCACACAACAAACAGGTACTCCACATCCTTCACTGGTGGTGGGGTCTCTCCAATAGTGGTGAGTGTTAACGTAGACCAGTACAGGCTGTAGATGTACTTCCTTGCCAGTCGCCCATACTCAGGGTGACTTATATTAGGATATACCCAGGTATCGCTTCCGAAGCCTATGGTTTTGGAAATAGCAAAAAATATGCATGCATTCCAGTGGATGATGATGAGAATGTAAAGGACAAGGTTACTTATTCGAAAAATATTGGGGTAATTGGTTCTAGTTTCAGTGCGATCAAAGAATTCAAAAAGGCGTGCAAATTTGAACAGGCGATTGAACCTCAGCTCTGGGTAGTTGTTCCCCACTTTAATCACAGCTATGTCCGTTGGCACCATCGAGAGTAGATCAAATTTGAACTGTGGTGTCTTCATGTAGTTTTCTCGTAACTTCTTTGGGTCCTTCACGAGCAATCCTTGCTCTAGGAAACCTAGAAAAATCAATAATACGCGTATTGCCGTGTTATCTTTCATTAGAACCATCAAACTAAATCTGATAATGTCCTTAGTCAATCCATATTTCCCATGGTGTAGTATTGTTATCTTTGTAAGAAGTCACAGTATCAATACTTTAGCTCTGCAGTGAAGAATGCACACCATACAGGTCATCATTGTAAACAACTTGTTTAAAATCTCCCATTATTTGTTCCCAAATTGGAATAGCAAATTGTCTGTTTCTCACATGACCTCTAACTGTAGGTTAGGCCCCCAGCCCTAGTGCCACACAAAGAGGGGAATAAGTTTTGCCCACCTGCCCACTTTCAAGACACTCATCTATTAACTGAATGTGTCACAGGCAAGTCTGGGGGCTCCACACCAAATGGAGAAGAAGCAATTCCCTCACCTACAACCCTGTGAGCCTGCTGGCACCCAGGAAGGAGAAGATGGAGGCTAGAATGCCCTGGCTGACTAATCTCACTCTACTCTTGGTGCTCAAACATTTCTGAATCATATCTTGGGGAATCCTTTATCCTAGGGCTAAAACTCTGCCCCTCCCAGTATTCCACAGTAAAGAATTTTAAGGACATTTTTTAAACAAGCAGATGGAGACCTGAACAGATGCACAGATTTTCTTTATTCTCTTCAACAGTAATAAAAATGAAAATCACCTACATTTCACAATCATTCTACTCCTGAACTGACCTGATATTTTTAACAGATATTGCATGTCTAAGAATGTTAATTAAATTATAGAATTTGAATGTAAAGTATTAGTTTAGAGAATATATATGAAATCCCAGTTCTAATGATCCTAAATTATTACACATTTTTCTTTCAACAGCAACCAATAAAGTTCACTTCTTGATTTATTTCATTTACTGAGAGCACTAATAAGTCATAATATGCATCTTTGACGAAACACTTACTTGTACTACTTCATAGACCTGTTTCCGTCATAATTTCATTAATGCATCAACAATATATAGTTCATTAATATTTAAGACTGTAAATCGCCTAAGTTCATAATTAAGTCATATGCATACAAACTTGGAAAAACCTCTGGAAATATGGATGGAACTCACCTGTCCTGAATCTCACAAATGTGTCAAGGAAGTAGATGACATCTGAAGAGTAATCCAAAACCATCCATAAAGTAATATACTTTGTCTGCAGTTCATCAAAACAGGCCCTAAGACATAATGAGAAGGCGATTTGTACAAAGTAGTTTTACTAACAAATATCATATAAATGCCTGGTACATTGAGGAGCAGTACATTGAACATAAACTGAAACTTAAAAGTTATCTGTGATACAAATAACTAAATCTGAGGTGTTATCTCTTCTCTATGGAAATGTATACATATTCTTATAGATCCAGACATACAACTTTGGCAAATTTCAGACATCCATCCATGCAGCCATTTTCTAACTGCTTCATCCAATTCAAGGTCATGGGAGAGCCGAAGCCTATCCCAACATGCAACAGGCCCAAGCCAGTCCATCACAGGGCACACACAGACACACTCAAACTAGGGCCGGTTTACCCAAACGCCAACATACCTACCAGTATGTCTCTGGACTGTGGGAGGTAACAGCAGCACCACTTGCAAAACTCAATACAAAAAGCACCCCAGAGCTGCCCCATTTCAGACATAAAGTATGCATTTATATTTTGCTGCAAAAATGTTGTTTATTCTATAAGGCTTTAAATGCTCTACTGGAAAAAAAACACATGCAATAGATTACAATACAGTTGCCAGTTTATAGCATAGTTAAATACAGGAAAAATATACCTACCTGCAAATAAGCATGCACCAGTTGTACATGACTGGGGTTGCAATTATAGTAAGCCATCTGTAGTAGAGATCTGTAGCTGGGTCAACAATAAATACTTCTTTTTTCTTCCTAAAAATAAAGTTCCAAAATGAGAAAATGTTTTCAATACAATTTCCATGTAAGCAAATAAACCTGTTTAAGTAAATTTATTTTTTCTTCCTGTTTATATGTTCTGCTATAAAAACCTTTATTTGACTGGCTATTTACATAATGAAGATACAGTATAGATTGTACTGAATATGTGAAAATTACATTTAATTTTTCTAGGTAGTTAAGGACCCACTGGATGCACCGATGCACAATTTGTCCTACAATGTATAATTCCTCGTTCTCAAGTGGGAAAGAAATCTTCTTCAAAATACAATTAATTTTGATGGTCAATAAAAAATAATTACATACTGTAAGCAATGTAACCTAATGGGATATTTATCCTAAGGCAGGCTTCATCCAAAGCAAACTTTCAAAGCCTGTCCACAGTTGTAAAAAGCAGCCTGTGAAAAGTGCTACCATAGCAACGAGTCCTTGACCTTTGTCTTAACTGCCTGTCAAAGTGCGCAGCTAATGACAATGAGTGTAGATATTCAAAGCACATTCTTAACACTTGCCTTTGAGATATGGGGTAATGGGATCTGAAGAACTACACTTACATACCAAAGGCAATTCAAAAACAAGTGAACTCCAGAAACTATTCAGCTCTGTAATTATATATAAGGATCCTGATGTACTGTATGTTACATACAGTACATATCATGTAATATATATTTTCATGTATTGCCCTTCACTCCTGTCATTTAATTGGTAGTATTTAAGTCTTATGTCATTCTGTGTATGTTTGTGGGGTATATTTTTAAGTCTTTCAAGTTTGAGAACAAAACACAATTATCAATGTTCTGTCTGTATTCATTTTCATGTGAATAAATGTTTTTTTTTGTGGAAACATAACACTGTTAGGACAACAATATATACTTTTGAAGACGAAGACAGGCTGACAGAACCACCAGACGGACAGTACTGTAAGTCAAATTCACGTTGTGCCACTTTCCTCTAGTCTACTTCCTGCACAGTATACTTACTCCTCTTCTTTCTTTTTGTCATCTTTTTTCTCATCTTTCTTTTCCTCCTTTTTTTCCTCTTTTTTCTCCTCCTTCTTTTCCTCTTTCTTCTCCTCCTTCTTGTCCTCCTTTTTGCTGAGGGTGATTTTTTCTATTTTACACTTAAAGCCAAACGGTATGTTACACTACCCTAGTTCTATTGCACTACCTTCAGTTGTTTTACATATGAAACAACGAAACATTTCATATGTGAAACGTCTATACAGAGGGAGTAGTAAGGGCTAGAGGGCAGAGGAGGTTCACTGTCAGCTAGAGAGCCAGTTTTCTGTGGAACATCAAGTCTTTATGTGAATATTTAATTCATGTTTGTCTCTCTACATTGGTTTTAAAGACTCTTTTAGTTGATTTCTAGTATCTGCTGATACTAGATACTTGAATTTTCTGTTAGTTTACCTGTATAGCTCCAGTGTAAAGGTTGATTTATTTTTCCATTGACCAGCAGGGGGAAGCCTAACCTGAGAAAGTTCATGAGGACTAAAGGGAGTTTCAGCAGCCAGCAACTGAGAGACCCTTTCTTTTGTCTCCAGGTTGGATTATACGGTCCACAGCACAACAACCTGAAAGCAGTACTGAGATCTGTCTAATCTAAATTCTACGAAAAAACACAAACTCTACAATTCCACTTCTTTTCACTCACATTTTTTAATACAGAGAAGCTGCGATATGATAGCCTTATAAAATAAGTCCTGAATAAACGTAGCTATTCAGATTTACAAAATACCTTTGACATTATTTGTAAATTACAGTAAATGTAGCCCATGATAAACATACTTTAATTTAGCTACATTATTTAACGAGCAACACACTTTTAAATTAGGTCCTAATTTTCCAATGTTGGTAAAACATATACCTATGAGAAAATATATTGCAAAACAAAGGTTCTCTTTCCTTTTAACTCCAAAACTATCATGCAAATTTATTTTAATTTAGATGCCTGCAGTCATTAGATTAACACTTAACAACTTCAGAAAAATTGGAGCTTGATTTATTTATTTTAATTAATATGAAACTGCCTAGTTTGCAAGAGCTTTAAAAATCATTGCCTCAACCTTTCAAATCCATAGTTGTGAGTCTGCTGAATTAGGCTAAGGCTCTGACCTTACCCTGTCAGTTTAGCAAAAAACCACCCAAACATGCAGGTACAATGATAGTGACCAAGAAATGAATTCATCTGTTTCTTCCATATGTGAAACCGAGGTGTGTTTATTTTATGTGGACATTGCTGAACCAATTATGTATACTACAGTATGTACATATCTTTAAAAAGATATGCATACAAAGGGAGTACATTTTACCATCCTAAACAAGGTTATTTGATTGATTTTGTGGATCTCTGAGGATTGCAACCTAAATTCTTATTCTTACCCATCCATTTTTTTTCTAACTGCTTTATCCAGTTCAAGATGGTAGGGGAGTTGGATCCTATGAGTGTAATTCTTATTCTTTGATTCTTGTATTCATCAAAACTAAATTGCAGGTCCTCTTTGACAGGCACAAAATTCAATCCATTGTAATGAGACCTTGTTGATGGCAGAAAAAGAACTTGCACTATACTAGGGAGGAGAAAATCTAGAGGATCTGCTCCATCTCAATTTCTGTCTACACAGGTTTCACTCACTCATCTGTGTTGTTGCAGTTGTTGATATTGAAGTTTGCCAGCGGCCAGCGGCTGTATTTGAAACATACTGATGTTACCAAAAGAGCAGGATGACTCCACCTGTGCTCTTGCTTTCTGTGCTGTAAGGTACTACAGTTGCATTGTAAAAGTAGACAATATAATGAAACTAAAAAAAATCAATTTAAATCAGCATTTTACTCAACCTATATATCTTATAATTGTAACTCTGGACAGTTATACAGCATTACAAATCTTATATGCAGATTGAATCCACTGTAAATATGAAAGTCATAACTAGCCAGGGCCTACCTGTACTGTATGAATTTCTGCAATTTTATTGACATATGTGAGGCACATCATGTCACACACTGTACTGTATATTGACTTATCACCATGTAACTATCTTTAAACCTGTTATTAATATCAATATTTCAAACCCCGTATCTGGTAGAATCTTCAAAAATGTCAACTGTGTGTAAAATAAGAAGTGTAAAATAAATGAAATGTGTTTTGAAAGCAATTAGGCTAGGCAATCTGACACTATGACATTATGACACCGTGATAACTTAACACTATACAGCACAGTCACTACATACGGAATATTATTTTCCGTCTTTTTGTTTCCAGCTTAGTGTAGACTCACTTCTTCCCCCTGTGTGGATGGTCAGGGTTTCCAGTAGCTGACTGGGCATTGCTCTCTCGACTAGAAGCCTCTTTTAGATCTGGACCTCTAAATCGTTCCAGAAACGAGTCTGGTCTTTGGTCTTCATGATGTAATCGTCTGGTAGCCCAGCTCCTTAACGCAAAGATGAACCGAGAGAGCCTGAAATACAATCAGACAGACTTTAAGTCCAACTCTGTGGGCCTGTTACTGGTGTATGCGGAACAAATATTGAGTGTAAGCAGTATATAAATAACATACTGTATACAGAAATGGAATCTACCAACGCAGACGTCTTCAACTCCGGTCCTGAGGAGCTCCAATCCAATAAGTCCTAAATCACCGGCTTGGAAAGACTGGCTATTTATAACTATTTAATCAATTAAGCAAGTCTATTAGTGTTCTTAAATTAAAGGAACTCTTATCCTTGATAGATGAAGTGTTTTCATATTTCTATAAATGATCTCCGAATTACTTTAATTCAACACATCACCTGCTTGAATGATGACAATAAAAATGTTCCATTTGTTTTTTAGAAATTGAAGCTCGAATGATTTCCGTAAAGGCAGTGGGTTCAGACAAGAAGGGGATTCTTAATAATGCTATACGGAATGAAATGCTGCCCTTGATCACCTGACCAGTTCTGAAAAGCTGATAGTTCAGGTGATATGGAAAAAGCCAGGAAGCAGAGGTTGGTCTAATCTGCTGTCTGGGAAAAGATGGCAGATCCTCTGATAAATATATCCACCAGAGTGGCCAAATGAGTGACTGTGGCACCTAATGTCTGAGTTTGAGAGACTTCTTTTTGGATATAGTCTCAGAGACGAGTTATGAGAGGTTTGTTTTGAGGCTGGATAGCCGCTTAGCTGCCTGGTTATTATCAGAGTGAAGAAGACAATGAGGACATGTAGGCAATAGCTCAAAGAACACCTTACATTTCTGTTTTGGATTTGTGGTTATGTATTTCCTTACACTTTAAAAAATGAGTATGGTTTATACCTTACATGTGCATTTGTGTCTTTTTTTCTTGTGTTTTTTTTTCCATTTAAAAGATCCCATTCAGACTACCCAATGTAACACATTAGATATAAAACTTATATGTTTGGGGCTCTCCAGGAGCAGGGATAGAAACCACTGTACAAGACTTACAGTAAATCAGATCAATTGTGGATTTTTGTAGAGGCTGATTCATGCTGCTCCACCAAAAGGAAAACCTTTTTTTTTTTGCATTTACTGCTATTAATACAAAACTATGAAATTACAAATCGGTTTAAATTACCGGCAGTGCCTTACATAAAATACCTGTGAAGGTACTTGATGCTGAATATACAGGTAAGTCGCACCCACATATTGGGGCTGTGGAATTTCAAAAATAGACCTTTACAAAGCACAAGTTACCTTTCTGAACAGAAACAGTTGAAATGAAAAAAAAATTCTCTTGGTAATAAATAAAGGAACTTTGAGAGGAGTTTATAAGACAAATTATACAAATATAAAAGGTAAATAACACAGTAAAGTCCCTTGTATCTGGAAGAAAGGGGGTAGGGGGTTCTGGATACCAGGTATTTTCAAACAGATAAGATTAAAGCAAACTGACACACGATTAGTCTAAAGCACAATTATTAGAACACCACTACGAGGATAACACCGACACAGATCCATGACTGTTCATACAATATACAATACAAAATTTATGATCACATTGAGCTGCAAATTCTGAGTAGTGGGTCTTGGGCAGGGGACAGGGAGGATCTCACTCGCTGGCTACATTTATCTAATGATAGTCTGTTAAACTGTTCAACTCAGTTTCATCCTGCCATGCTCTTCTTCTGTCCAAGAGTCCAAGACCCTGTCAGCCTGACAGAACCGTGGATAAACAATTACATACTAATATTAAATACTTAACTAGACATTAAATTTGCAGATGTCAAGACCCTAGTGTATATTAACGGACTGCCATTTTGCTTGATCAATGTCATTTTATTTTAATTAACGTAAAGCCAATGCTTAAGTACTATAAAGTACTATTAGTAATGCATTATCATATAAAGAACAGTTTCTTATGTCTTTTAACCATACATACTCTATACTGTAATACATGATACAACAGTATAGGGGTGGACTTGGTTAGATGTGAATTTCAAGTAAGGAGCATGCGTAGCATGCAAAGGAACAGGTAAAGTTTTATTCCATGCTGAAAAGAAAAGAGATACAATGTTTCAGACGAAATGTTGTGTTTCCTTTCTTTTCAGTATGGACGAAACTTCACCTGTTCCTTATTGGTGAATTTGGCTACTAGTGACAGTCCTCTGCACCGACCCCTAACAAATGCTGAGACTCTACTGTACTGTATATATATATATTATCTGCACATGTAAAAGATTGAAAGTAACGTAAATGTCTGCATGTTACAGAAAAACTTCTCTGCCTTCTCGTCTTGCACTCTCATCGCTGTGCTGTAGAGCGTTTTGCAGGATTCTTTTAATAATCAACAGCACGAGATCCGGGGAAAAAAAAGTCAAACTGGTCCAATGGGAGAAAATAATTTGTTGATTTATATAATTAAGGACACAGATGGAATGGAAATCACAGGTCACCCTAGCCCCCGGAGGACCAAAATGAATTCATTAATATAATGTTTTTCTTCCACACGGGCAGGCTCCTCAGATTGTGTTTAGTAGGGCCTTGGTGAGGTGAGAACGTGTTCCCAGGGACCCGCTGCAGAAGAGGACACTCGTTATGGTAGGATATTTACCTGGCCATGGCGCCGGTCCCTGTGAAGGAGCTCCTGCGGGACTCAGGCAGCCCTCTGGTCTCCATGGAGACCGCTCTCTGCAGCTCAGAGGAGGTGTCCTCACACAGTGAGTGCGCCCTGAGGAAGAAACACGCAGCCGCCTGAGCTCTCGGGCCGTCTGCCTTGGCGCAGTTCATACTGAACACACCATCATTGCATGAAAGCAATCACTCTTCACGACCTCGCTAGCACAAAGAGACTGGAACATGGCGGGAACACACGTTGTGAAACACACACTGTATTTTGACAAGTGAATACAATATAGACTCTTAATAATGAATCATCTTAATCCACAATATTCCACTGACTTCAAAGAATTTGATTTCACAGCCGATGAAGACTATCCGTCTTATCATAGGAATATCATTAGACACTCCGAAGCTTGCCATAGGAGCTGATGCATTCATTCCTTTTCATGATGAAAAAAGGGCCCCAAAGGCAGGATATTCTGATTTTTAAACTGTTTAGCAAAAGGGCCACTTTCAATGAAGATATGGAGCCGTATACCCTTCCTATGGAAGTGTCATGCCCTCTGCAGCCGGTTCGTCCCTTCTGACATCCGTGACACTGTGGTGTCCATTTTGTGAGATTACAAAATGATGATTACACTTTTTTCATTTCACATTTTAATGAAAGCTTGACTGTTCAAAACTAGTTTCTTCTAAGATAAAGTACAATACATTCCAGCTCAAACTAGAGAGGAAAAAATAAAATATGTTAATTGCATAAGTATTCACACCTGTTAACTCCATATTTTGTGGAAGCAATTACAGATGCAAGTCTTTTTGGGTAAGTACCAACTTTGTCTACCAGCTTGGGACTATTTTTGCTCATTCTTCTTGGTAGATCTGATCAAGCTCTTTCTAGTTCCATTGGCAATCACTTATGATCAACAGTTTTCCTGTCTTTCCACAGATTGTCAATTGGATTCAGGTTAGGACTTCGAGTCATTTAAAGACTTTCACTTTCTCATTCTAAACTTATTTCAGTATAACTTTGGCCTTGTGCTTTAGGTCACTGTCCTGCTAAAAGGTTTCCCAGTTTTAGGTGTGAAGCAGGTTTTCCTGTAAAATTTGCCCCATTTATGTTGCATTCAGTCATGACAAGCTTCACAGTCCAAGCTGAGAAGTAGGACTGTTACATAATGCTGTCCCCATCATGTGTGACAGCAGAAATTGGTGTTTACTGAGTGACGGACTATGTTGTCTCAGATGTTAAACTTAGCTTTCAGTCCACAAATTTTCAATTTTGCCATCTCTGACCAGCTTTTGTCATGTTTATACGGTTGCTTTTTGTGTACCCCATGCGGGAATTGAAATGTTTTTTTTAAAAAACCAAAAAGCCCTTTGTGGAATGACTGGCATATGGGATGTGTACATTTTCCCCCATCTCAGTCACTGTTCTGTAACTCTTTTAAAGTCTCACAGTGGCATCTGTTTCTAACCTGTTTCCACCTTGCCTTTTTGCACAGTTTGTAAGTACAGCCTGATCTAGAAAAACAACTGGATGCCTTCCACTTCCAAAAATGGCATTAATAGTCATTGACGTTTTTTTTAAACCTGCATTGCTTTGAAATTGTTCTGGTTAAATTTTGGCTTTAGTTCACTTAACGTATGGTTTGGATCATTAAGGTAGTTTTGTACAACTTAGTTTGAGTGGGAAAAATATTAGCAATTTTTTTATTTTCATCATTTCAATTATTCTGTCAGTTCTTAATCACTGCAACAGCTTTAATTATTATTGAGGCAGTTTATTTGGTGTAACGTGTCAAGCCGAATCTTGCTGTAGGGATGAGACTGATAAAACCTGCCACCGAATGAAGATGGGATGTGAGAAGATTGTGCAGAGGGATGCTGAGAAAGTGAGAAGATTGTGCAAAGGGATGCTGAGAAAGTGAGATAGGAGAGTGGAAGTGGGCAAGGTTAGAATTTCACTTCCTCCAGAACTTCTGTTTTTGAGAAATACTCCATTTATTCGATCACAACATTTCAGGGTATATGAATAAGTTCAGAATCTTCTGTGTTCAATGCACAATTCAGGTCTTATAGGCTGTCAACGTTTTGACATTGATCTACATTGCTTTGAGCCTGGAAGCATTTCTGTTTGCTCTTTTTTCACAGGTTCAAGAGCAGCAATGTTTTTTTGTGCTGATCAAGTACAAAATTTTAAATGAGGTCTGTCTTACCAGTGCATTGCACTATAACACCTCTTATTTAAGTAATGTAGAAGCAAAAACATCACTGAATTAAACAAAAAATTGCATTACAACAGAGCAGTAAACATCCACTTGCATCTAGGCTATATTGAACATCCTAAAGTGAACTTATCTCTACCGTGCAGTTAATTATCTTTTTGCTAACAAATTTAAAATCATCACTTGTCTCTTATTCATCTATGATAGAAACCAATTTTAAAGGCAAATTAATTGTCTTTATTTGGACCTTTTATCTCATATAAGTTAAGTCTACAGCATATGCTTTTTCATACCATCTAGATTTTATTTTATTATAAAGTGTGTGTACCTGATCTGAGAAGAGATTTCCAGCAACAGCAGACATGGAGATATTTAATGCCATTCACACCAATAAAGAAAGAACAGTACCTTGTTTTTGATCTCACATCAGTCGATATTACATTTGAAAATAAATCTCTGTTCTTGGGTAATTGGATTTGATTTATACTGGCTTTGTGTGGGTATTTGAATTTTGTTTATATCTACCCAGTGTGGAATCACCAGAATCTTCTGAATGTGGAAATGTAGACAGACTTACATTCTAGAGATGGGAGTCCAATATGCACTATTCAGTGTGTGTGACTGGTTATTATACCTCAGTAATGTTATTGTTAACTGAAATGTAATGAGTCCTATTAAGGAGAATAATGAATATCATATTGAAGCATATTGAAGCAAAAGAGATATGCACATTTCTGGAAGGAAATTGGTCTTAAATTGATGAGTGAGTACATTGATATGTTTTTTTTTTCCATTTGGGGATTTTTACCTGCTGTTTCCATTCTCGATCCTATCAAGGTCGTCATCGTTTGTCCTGACAGATAGCCGATGCACAGCGGGGTAAGATTGCTGAGTACTGATTGTTGCCATCCTCACTCACACTCTGCTTGTCAGGGACATCCAGCCTCAGACGGGCAGCTGTGGGCAGAAAATTTAACTGTGGTCAGCATACTGTACGCTTCACTGGTGGCCTCCAGCAGTAATAGTGGCCACATCACACGGGAGCACTTCCATAGTATTTGGAAAACATACTTTATTGTCCTCAGAATACATTATTTTTCATTCCAAATTTCTCATTTTCAATCCGAACTTTTTTCGAGTAATCCTCAAGACTGTTTGATCAAGCACCTTTGTTTGTTGTGTGCCTTGACTTTGGAACGTTTAGATCGGGCTGTTCATCATTCTGCTGCTTCCACATCTATTGTTAATAATCAAGATCATACATTGCTTAAGATTTACAGTATGTATTTCTATAGACAGAGAATGTTTCCTTGCCCCAACTATATTTGAATGTTTCAGTGCTATGAAAGTGCTAAGTCAGGCTATGAAATTATTTGCCCCAAGTCTGCATCACTGCCATTACATTTTACACTGTTTTGATGGATGAATTTTAATTTACACCCATTATCTATGTGGTTGTACCCTGGTGTACATTTGAAGAATCTGTTTTCACCATATAGACTTCAAGGTTTCACACTGAGGGTACCCCTTAGATATTGTATTGACTGTAGTTTGCTATCATATCTATGCATAATAAGTTTTTTATTGAGTAGAAAAACAAATTCACAGAAGACATACTGTACCACATATTCTTCTATTTTGTTGCAGTCATAAACCCCTTACAAGCAATTCTTCTTTCTCTTTTTCACATCGCAGTGAGAAAGTAATTCACGGTCTTACAGATATTTCAATGATGATAGCCTTCACTCGTTCTAGCAATCACAAAAAAAAAATTTTAACCCTTCTTTTCTATACTTATGCCTCCATTCTGCAATTTGTTCCCATGACCTTTACTGTGTCGTGAAGTTATTCATATACCCAGTGCATAATCTGCTTGATACCATGGGTAAAACAAAGACATAATACATAAAAGACTTCTTTTCATGTATTTTTTATTAGAACATTCATATAAACTCTTTGTAGGAGCCACTCTTTGGAAAAGTGACCTCAAAGTTAAAGACAAGGTTACTTCCTGAGACAGTAAAAATTCAAATTCTGCCTCCAAAAATACGTATGATTTTAACGGTCCTGCCAGTGTGTCTTTCAATGTGAACAGGTCTCTTCTTGTTTGCTCCTTCTTCTAATTGGGGATATTCCCTGTTCACACTGTAATCCAGGCCTCCAGCAGCAACAGAAACAGATCTGGTTGACTGGTCTGACTAAAAAGTGGTGGGAACGGCATAGAGAGCCTTTGAATTTCCTCTCCTGGCATCACTGAATCCTGGCCTGTTGTTCTACTTTGATAGAGCTTGCCCTCTAGGAATTTTTAGAATCTAAACCACAAAGCAGAAGCTTGAAGAGAGGGAGTTCGACAGAGCCGGCTATATTTGATTTGCAGCATAGGAGCATTCCAGGGACCAGAGTCCGCTGTCTCGCCAACAATTCTCAAAATCCCAAACCTGACACAAAGTTGCTCAGGTGCAGCTTTTTGGTTTCGGATAATCTCAATCATTTTACCAAAGGCTTTTCATCTCACTAACTGTTGCCATATCACAAGAACCCAGTCAGGCGCATCCTGTTCCACACCTCACTGTGTCCCTCCCTTTTATTCCCATCTTCTGTCTGTCAGCAATGTTCTCATTTTTGTTTGTGTGATTAGCTTCTGCAAGCTCAAGGTTAGGTGTTCGGTCTGCACAGCCCCATCCTTTCAGAATCATGGTACCAAGGACAGTGGGGGCACAGGGCAGACCTGCTGCTGTAGTCAAAGCCCTGCCCCGTGGGGGGGTGGGTCCATCGCCAAGTGCCATCATTCCATGTGACCATGTTTTAGGGGCGCACAGGTAGAAACCAGGGGAGCACTGCCGAAGGAGGTGCAGTAGGTGAGGGGAGATCAGGTGGGGCAGGGGAAGGTCCTTTTCTGTTTGGTGTTAATAAAATAAAATACATTTATTTATAAAATAAATAAAATACAATAAAAAATGTGTTCACAAAAGGATTAGTCAATCAAATTACTAGTATGTCAAGTGTGCTTTTATAAATGTCTCAAGTTATAAGGCCTTTTAAAAGACTATACAATTGGCTGGTTATGGTGTCTGTTTTTATCCTGTCAGTAATATTAAAATTGATCTGCTTACAATTAACCATGAGATCAGCGTGTGCAGATTTTCCTTAAATGTTCTTAAATATTTTTTTTTTTATTTACCAAACAGACCATAAAATGTAACTTTCTCTTTCTGTTCTTGGAATTATAATCCCCAATGCTTGTTTTACATATTTGTAATAAATGAAGTATAAGTTGAAATTAATCACAGAAATTCTAAAAGAAATACAGTGTAACAGAATAAGAATAAAGATCCTTATCCTCGATCCAAATTAGTAAAATCCCTTTCCCATAAAAAAACCTTAAATTATATACAGGAAATATACTTCTTTATATACTTAGAGTATACAAAAAGTTATAAAACCCTTTCCTACAGGATACACATACAACGCCAGCTTTTGCTCATTTTCTTAAGTTTCAGTTGGTTCAAAAGTCAATAAGTAAAGTTCACAGGTTTATATCCGGGTTTCTGGGCAGACACTGTTCATTCCTTCTACACAGAGCACTTAACACTTATTTTCTTCCGATATGAATAAATGAGTTTGAAATCTGCAAGACTGGCCTGGGCAGCTGAGAATGTCCTTACTATACTGAACTATTTCATTAGTGCAAATCCTTCACCTACAGTAAATTGCCATGGATTTTCAAGTAAAATGTTTGAACGTATCTGTTAATGTCTGAGTAGTGATAATCCTTTAAAATGAATCATGCAGAGTCAAAATGCAAAGTAACAGGTGTATGTAATAATATGTAGAATTATGAATGTAAGGTAATACATATTTAATGTAATATAAAAGAACACTTGTAACTATATTAACCTCAGACTACAGAGAAGTGACTCATAATATGACATAGTGGCATAATTATCATGCATTTATTTGGGGAGACAGTAAAAAGATTTTGAGTAGCTGCAAAAATTGTTAATGAACAAGCATTTTTGCCAATCACAAACAAGAACAATAAATTCACATAAATAATGACAATATACTGTATGTGCTTCTGTTCTTTAAGCAAAGAAAACAAGTAGCTTTTGTTGCACCTGCGATTTGAGTGCTGAAATGTGAATAAAATGCTGCAGTACACAGATAAAAAGGCACATTGCATTATCTGCTTTGATGTATCACCTGCTTCTTGTAAATTCAATTCAACTAGTGTTGTGTGACACTCTACTACTGTTTTCACTTTAAACACTATTTAATCGACCTAATCTATTAAAGCTCACAGTGCATACAGCTTCATAACAACCTTTTTGCAAAAGGGTATAATAGAAAATATCAGTGATTTCTGCCAGTATTTTCTCCCAGCCTTCTGTAAACAGGAAGGTGCAGTGCTATGCTAATTTCCCCATTCAAACTTAATGAATCACAAGGAGCAAGAATGTGAACATCTCCCTTTAAAATCTTAATTTATGAGAAGTGATGTGGAAACAAGCGTGATGCCCACTGAAATGCCACCAACAACACGGAGTTCAGTTTGAGTGCAAAGAATCTAGAGGATATAATGTCAAGCTGAATGCCATCTCTCATTCAAAATGGACTTTATGCTATTTAGTTTCTACAGATTGAGATTGTTTACAACCATTCCAGGACTGTGGGAAAACATACTGTAATGAAACTGTGCTGGACTGGGGTTAGCCAATGTTGTGTCTTTTTATTAAGTTAGTACTGGTTAAATGGGTTTACCATTTACCAAGTAATGCCCAAATTTTTTGGCATTATTTAACATCCCGCTCACAATATCAACGACATTTTGCTGTCTCCTTTTCATTACGTCCATCAATATCATGTTTGTCAGCCTGTGATGTCATTTTTGTTGTGACACCCACGCAATATTGCAAGTGGTTCCATATACACATCTCATTTTACCACTAACACTATAAACAAACATTGGACAGGATCAAAGGGCATTTTCTGGTATAACCCTCCGTCAAACACTGTCAGTATTGTACAAAATGTAAGTATTTAACAGTACACTGCTTAACATCATTTACAACTAGACCAACGACCTAATAGGCAGAATGTCAGTAGAGTAAACTGATTTAGCGTTAACACATGTAGATACTGAATAATGCAAAAATGTGTGGTCTGTACAGCTATACTTCATAACGTGTGTCCCTGTCAAACATTTCAACCACCCTTGATTGCAGCAATATGCATTTGGTGACATGAAATGGCCAAGGACAAATCACCATGCAATCCAAGCAAAACTCCTACTGCAATCAGCATTTCAGTTAAGTCAAGAGCTCCGATATCAATATAATGTTTCCCAACACTATTGCAGAGCATAAGAATGGGTTTTCCCTCACACCGTAGCATTCAGGCTAATCAACAAACTTTATTATTTTGATGATTGTTTCAATTAAACCTGCAGTAGTAAAATAAACACGAGTGCTATTTTTACAGACAGCTTTATCTCACAATTGTGCTTTCCAAAGAGCTAAACATTTCCCTTTCAATTCTGACGAGACCTCAAATCACTCAGCACAAAATGAAACCCCCAGAGTTAGGGATCTTAGATTCCCCATCACAAAGAGCACTTAAGGTTGGTAGTTCAAAAATATGAGTGAGTGGCTCAGAGCAGGGACAATGCTGAAAGCAACATCACCCCCTCTGTTTCATGAGAAGATGAAAGAGCACTGCTACTCGCACTGGAGACAAACATTGTTATCCTCCAGACTATCTCTCCAATTGAAACCTTTGGATTTAAAAAATCTTACCCTTCACTTAATGCTGCCCAATAGCACCAACATTTTTTACTCCTTTACAGTTTGCATTGTAACAATAACCACTTTTTAAAACCACGTTTAAATGACTATTATTGTTGATTATTGAAATTAAAACCATAAAAAGTACAATGATGAAGAACATGCTGGGATATATTATATGAATTGTGTAAAAAAAGTGTATATTGGTACACTGTAAAACATATCTGTAAATGTAATCAATGATAAGAAATACAGTAAATAGGGAGGGTAATACACCATCTTATACAGGACATTAATATGTCACTGTAATACTGAAAACAAAGACTTGCTAAAATCCTGGAATAAAGTATTTATACAATTGTTGTTCAATACAGTCAAGGTTTATTGTTTTTTCACCTCAATTCAGCTTTTGATGTGCAGCTTGCTTTAAAGGCAATTGCTGTAAAATTACAGTGTGCTTAAAGTTGTTTAGAGTGTTCCTTATCCACTATCTCAGAGTCACTGACTCTAATTTAATTTGCCACTTCTTTGCTTTTAATAAAGTTTAATAACAGAACATGAAATGCTTCTATCATACAGTATATACCTATCTTTTTGACATAACAGTGTTCCATTACATTTGCACTCTCAAGCTAACTGAATTATATATTACACATAATTTAGCACATTACAGAATCAAGGGGATGTGTGACTGATATTAATTTTCCACCTTAAACTGCAGAAAATACAGTATGTCTTTGTGATGTCTCTCTGGCAACATTTTGAATGATGGAGATCTATTGGACTCATTGCTTTCAACCCAAGCAGCTTGCCATGGTTACTAGACTGGTAACCATGACAATGTGACACAATAAAAGGAAATATGTAATTTTACAACGGACTGCGAATTAAAATTATATACATAACTGCCTCCCTCTCATCCGCAGGACCTGTCTCAAATAGCTACTATGATAGTCTTCCTGTTTATCGCCTCCCTGACATGGTCCCTGGTTTCCTCTTCATAGTTACTTGTTACATATACAGTATTTACACTAGTTCATCATATATTCTCGTCTTTAAATAGACTTTAGCATGTGGATATAACACAGTTCTATTTATTTTGTCTCGATAGCGCACGAAGTTCCCGACGGATGATGTCGCAAACATCTACATACTGTACAGTATTTGTATGCCTTAGAATATGTGTGAAGTTAATTTGATACAGCTACTGTATATCTGTAAAATATCTGTAGTAACAGGCAAGAAGTCCCCGCCTCTGAATACTACAGGAACGGGTTGTCTTTGAATTGAGCCAGATGACATAAATATTGTAATTTCTTAGTAGAAAGTCAGTTGTTTTCAAATTTAATCCCATGTTCAAATTGCACTTGATTTACTACCTTTATTTTCTTTTTAGAGTCTTTAAAAAAGCCTAATGTTGTAGATGTAAAAACGAAAAAATATACTCGAAAAAAGCATATTTGAGTGTTAGTCGTTGTGTGAAAAGAACCCCTTAAAGTTTACTTAAGTTGTTTTAAGGCGGTATTAAGTGAGTACATAACTAAGCAATTAATTCTAGCATGTCCTGCACAGGATTGCTTTCACTTGGTGTCAACGATTATAGTAATTAACTATTGACTCGAACGGTACATAATTTTAGACAATATGGTTTCACCTTAACACTAAAGTGGAAATGGTCAGCGTGACATTTAACAGAATATTGAGAAATGGGTAACAAGTGTGAGGATGCAGGAGACACAACAGATTTAGTAAATAATAAAAAATATTAGCCACGATCTTTACAGCCTCCAACTCAGGGGTGTGTAAAACGCAGTTTAGACACGTGTGCGCCGCATTTAGATTAGTGTTAAAACCTCGAATTAACCCAGCTAAATAAAAGTAAGCAGATCCTTTGCTATCTTGTTAGGTACTTTGCATGGATCAGAATAACCTCCTAGGCTATTTTGAAACCTAACAGTCTCTGAACGATGTCACTTGATCACAGATTAAAACTTCGAGCATCATCAAAATATCTCACCTATCTTAATCTAAATTAAGGTGAATTAGCTTTAATTTGCTTCATACAAATTCATGATTCATGATTTGTTGTATTTCAGTGTTTTACAAAACTTTCATCTCACTTTGTAGATGCCCCTGGATACATTGTTTTGCTTTAGTCTGAAGTACAAAAGGCATAAACATACTCTTCGGGCACTTGCACGGTCATAACACATACATTGTATCCTAAATCATCAGTAGTTTTCTTCGGAAACTTTTATTCTAAAATAAAACAAAGCAAAAAACAAAAACGAAAGAAAAACAATTATGTGCATTAAGTTTACCATACCTGGTAGTACAATATATGTAATACGCCGTATTTAGGAAAATCTGTAGAAAATGACACTTGTAGTAATCCTTCTGTTGGATTTTGAATAATCCCATTGATGCGAAACACATTTAATCCCGTGTTCTATTTGATCATTATTTTCCTCTCTTCATTAACTTCACACGCAATAATTCCATAGTTGTGCTGCCATCAAGAAATCCTTCCGAGAGTTTGAAGACTTCAGTTAAACGCGAAAGGCGATTCGTTTGTGTCAGCACCTTGGACGCCGGACAGCTCCGGGCAGAGATGTCAACGAACGACGACGCGATCTCTCTCTCTCCCCCCCCCTCACACACACTCAGTAAATTCTCAAACGTCACGCACCTCATCTTCTTAATATTCATCAGTATAAACACCAGGGCACTACAAAGCAACGTACAGCATTTCTGACCACATTCATGTGCGTGCAGCGAGACACTTTTGCAAGGCATAGCTAGCTCGGTATAAAGACAACTGCTCCTGCAAATGTTCTGAACTGGTGTACGATTGTGTTAAGATAGTTTTAAATGGATGGTACTCCCTTTTCTTTCATAAATATGGTCATAAATATGGTGAATTTGGTGAAAAGGAGTAAAGGTTTAACATAGTAAAGACTAAAATACTAAAGTAGAACTAAATAATAATTAAAAAAATAATATTATTGTAGAATAACGAACATCAAGATGTTATAAAATGTTATTTTTCTATTGTAAGAACATAAGAAAGATTTGTGAAACTTCGTGTATCAGTTTCCACAACATAGCGGGGTGGCTGGTAACAGTCTCGCACAACCCTGTGTGTAAAGAGCTGCCTCTTGTTCCCCAGTTTAATTGCATTTCCCCAAGTTTCCACTTGTCCTCTGGTTGATTCTGGTTGACTTTGTCAGTGCCTTTGAGGATTTTGAATACTTGAATCTGGTCCCTATATAATATTCTCACTCAATGATTAAAAAAAACGTTTGACTTTTCAGCTTATGGATATATCTGCTCACTCTTCACTGGGCTGATTCTATGTGGTGACCACAATTGTACACAGTATACTGTACCTAATGAGATCTTCTTGTATATTTTATTATTTAAACATAACATCCCTTGATTTACTTTCTACACTTCTTACATTCTGTTTTCCTGTTAAATCTCTTAAAATACACAGAATGAGAACTATAAAAAGCTTCAAAAAGTATTTAAAAGGTATAATTTATTGTGTTTGGTTATGTAATGTGTTTCACTATACAATTCAATATTTGTACTCCATTGTCTTATTCAAAAATTCAACCCGTCAGCAGGCACAAATGCAAATATTTTTCTTTAAAGTGCTTATAAAAAGTTTTTTTTACAATTATCAGTACACTCAGTTGTAATTTGCTGAATACTAAGCATATTTTAAACGTAATCAAATTGTTACCAGCAACAGTATTTTTAATCAAAATAAATGTTGTTTTAATTTCGAACCAAAGAATCACAACCCCTCAACAATTCTACAGTACAATCTAACAGTATTGTACATCAATTTAACAAATATTTTGAGCTGTTACTTTACATTTGAATTCAATTAAACAAGCCACGGATTTTTAAAAATTGATATAAAAGAAGAGCAATGCTCTCAAATAGTGTTGTTTCCAATGAATTTTAAATTAATGCATGTATAATGTTAGAAGTAGATGTAAATCAGAATCCTTAAAATCAGAGTAAAAAAACAGAAGTTCAAAAATCAAAAATGGGAAAAAAATGAAACAAAAAACACTAAAAAGGCAATCTGACTTACAGCTAAGATGTCATCGCTGTTTATAATGATTATTGATGAGACACTAAATGCCGAGTGTTATTCTGCAAGCTGCCACATTACCCTATTTACTGGCAAAATATTGTGTCTGAATATGTATGAGATAGATTACGTGCTTGATGGATACTTAAGTTACTTAAGGAAAGACGGGCTTACTTGCATATTTGAATAGATTGATATTCAAACCGTGGGGATCTAGGTAAGCATAGCAACTTGTCAAGGATTTGTGAATTTTTCGGTGCTTTTTCAAGTCAGTTAAAAGCTGTGTTTTAGCTCAAATTGTTTGACTACGATGTACGAGACAGCTGGGGGGAGGGCGTGTTCGGAGTAGATATGGTTCGAAAGAAACCTGGGAAGACTGATAAAATGATACTGTTGCCAGTATGAATCAGCATAACTATTGTTCTGTTAACTATAACTATAACTATAACTATAACTATAACTATAACTATAACTATAACTATAACTATAACTATAACTATAACTATAACTATTGTCAGGCCCTTCATTGTTTGATCAATTTCTGTGTGCAGTGGCCTAGAGAGGTGAAAGCTAAAGATTTATTTGTTTTTTTTCTAGTTTACATCCTGAAGACTTAATGAAAATTAAGCAAAACATGTAAAAAAAACTATTTTTTATACTAAGACAGAGTGGGGCTTGCATGGCTTCTATGTTTAGTACTTACTCACTCAGGCAAGGGGTTCTCATTCATGATAAAGGCACATAAACCCGATTGGTGCTTTTTGCACTTCAGCATTGCTCATATCCATTAATAACTCCTGCATAATGAGCCCAAACTGAAATAAATTGAAACATATGTAAAGCTTCTAAAAATCTTGAGAGGTAAGAATTGTAGTCAGTATTTGCTACTGTATACAGTATGTCTGTCCCAGTGGGATAATTTGATCAATGTTATTTAATTGGTTTTCTGTACAGAGATATTGGCATACCCAGCCATCCTCTAATAGCGTACAGCTCAGTTTTGTTGTCTTTTGTTGCTTACTATCATTTAGAAAGCCTCATACTTGGTGAATTTTCAATTGTGCTGTGTTCCTTGAGCAATCAAGTGGCACATTTAGTGACTGGAAGTACTTGAGTCAGGAGAGTAAACAGACTCTGCCAATTCATCCACACTCTCATTTTCCTCATTCTCCTGTACACGTTGGTGCTTCAAATACTTGTTATTATACATTTGTACTTCTATATTAAACTGTTCCTCTGAGAGCCAAAAGCAGTGATGGGTTTCCACATGCTGACAGCTGTCAAGACAAAAAAAAACAATAACAAATATCACTTTCTCAATCAACCACCACCTATTACACAGTTCCAGTTCAATAACTACACTCATTTGTCACTTTGTTATTCCAGCACAGAAACATGCTCAAAGCTGTAGCATTGTAAATTGAAGCAGATGGCAAGATAGTCTGCTGTAAAAGAAAATCTTTATAATAACTTTTTCACTCTTAATTCTATGGCAAAGAAAAACAAGGGGTTAATACTTTTACTCATTTGTGCTTTTTTTAGGGGCTTGTTATAATCTGTTATTCACTAGAGATAAAAACAACAGTAAAATAACTGATAAATAAAATATAAACACTTAAAGATGGACTTTTAAATCCTTAAAGTCATATTTTGAAGCACTGTAGATCTTATAGATTTACCGTTTTCCATTGATGAATTGAACATCCAGGTTAGTGCCAATGAACCCTTGAATAACACCAGGTAGGAAGATCAGTGAGACGGGGTCTGCTAGGGTTAACACAAAGTCACCCTCTGCCAATTTGCAAGAGCGGCTAAACTTTCCGAAGATGAAAGATTTTCTTTGCACTGTGCTTGTGCCATCTGCCCAGCAAACCACATAGTGCTTTCCATCTCCCACTCGCTGCTGCACCTCAGCTATTAAGGAGAGACATAACATTTTAAAATAAATAATTTCATGTCAAGATTCGAATATCAGGTGAGTATCATAAACAATAAAGAATTCTAGAATCCTAGAATTATAAAAAAAGGTTTAAGTTAATAGAACCCAATTCAGCTATCTAGCTCATTTTGTTTCTAGAAGAAAGGATCTAAGTTTCAACAATTAGGCTGGGTAGCTCAGCTCCAGATTCCCACAATCTTTTATATAAAACATCCCCCTTATTTTCACTCTTCGTTTAATAGTTTTCACTTTCCCATAGTGTGTCCTTTCGTTTGTGTTTCCAGGTTTGTTGTCTGTTGGATTGGCTATATACAGTAAATGCCTTTGAGAATTCTGAGTAATTTCTCTCTTCATTACTTGAAATAGCTTGTTCTTTTAGCCAGACAGAGTCAGAGACATTCCTTTGATGTTCTGATCATATCTGGTGGTCAGTCTTATGTGGACTGATTCCAGAGCAGCAACCTCTTTTACCATAATTGTACTCAGCAATCTGTACACAGCAATTTAATTAAGGTCTTACTAGTGCATTGTAGAATCAAGCCAGTGAGTAAGTCTCTCCCAGCTGCCTGACCAAGTACCCACAACCCAGCAACAGCATCTCAACTTGGTCTTGTAATGTACACTCCCAGTTAAGTGCTGGTAGCATGGGCCATGACAGGCTAAAGATGACTTTACATGCTCAGTAAATATTGTGGAATGTAATAATCACAGATGCAGAGTGCAGATTTTAGCTGATAACTATTAGTTTGAGATTACTGTTATTTATTTTACGTGATCAATGTTATTTTAATTAACTTAAAGAAAATGCCCTAGTACTTTAATTAACTTTCATGGAGGGTTACTTATGTCTTTTGTGGACTTGATTATATGTGAGTTCAGATTTTCATGTGTACAGTGTAAATATACTGTATCCTTACATTATTTCCTTTCACCTGTATTGTTGCTTCACCACTTTGTCGAGAATATGTAAGCAACGTCACAACATAAACATATTACAATCAGACATTTTTACATAGTATATAGGTGGTGTTTCCCCATCTTATTTCTATGATTTAAGCTTTTACTACCTGCATGTAACACTCTGCACATACCTACATTCAATATCAGCTGACAATTGTTTTCCCAATACTGAATTTTTCTAAATCTTTCCATTGTTGCTTCTAAAGCTGTTTGCTAATCTGCCTATTTTGGTATCATGTACAAACTTGATAAGTTTACCAACTATACCAGAATCTATATCACTTTTATATATTAGGAAGATAGGTGGTAGTAGCATATCCCTAGTTCCCTGTAAATACTGTGATGTACTATTTCCACTTAAGTGTCACCTTTTCTTTAATATACTGTCAAACTGTCCAGAGCTAAAGTAATTCTATTTTTTCAATTTAGCATTTCCAGAATATCATTTTTAATTGGATTTGGAAACCTTGTAATTGTACAAAACTATTTTGCTCTATAAAATAGATTTACCAAGATGATAGGTTCCAGTTGCATCATCCCTTGCAACTACTGGTTCCCCCACCCATCGTTCTTCACACTCCAACATGTAGGCCACATCCTGCTCAAACTTCTGTGCAGGAATCAAATATGTCTGCTCTCTGGAGACCAGGCCTTCGGTTCCATCATAATATCTGACCTACACAAAAGGAAAACAAAGGGACAGATGCAGATTTAACTTTGTCGGGTCCACTTCTGAAATATCCCTCACATTTAGATTTCAGTGAAAATAACAGAATAGCAAAGAGGAAATCCAAGATGCTCATCTGGAAGAGAGACTCCCTAGGAATGTGGGATGAGATCTCCATTCTGGGTTCCAATAGCCTTCTGACTGTCCTTATGTCCAGGCCTTTATTTCCTTAGGCTAATCTCCCACAGCAGGCTGAGCAAAACCTATTCCAAGTTGCTCACCAACTAAACATTTCAAATCTAATTTAAAGCTATTAGTGGGTGATATGTATAGATAAATGCATAGATACATCATAAACATCTAGCCCATTAGAACAAACTGAAATTGTTGCATTTGTTTCTGAATTAATAATTAAATGTATGTTCAATTCTTTGGAATGGACAGTTCCATCTTCAGCTCCCCAAACATCAAAGAAAGAAGCCACAACTCTGTAACCTTTGGCCTCTTCGACGGCTATTAAATCTTTAAAGATGGAATGCAAAATTTGATGTATACATCAGAGTTCAGTAGCTGATTGCTGGACAGAAGTCATTGTCTCAAGACCACATACACTGGCCATAGTGAGACTGTTTCCTCTTTGGAATGCTCCAATGTAAGGTTTGTGATTTATTCATCAACACGTTTAAAATTTAAGGTCACAACAAATAATGAAATCAGGCTACTAGCACTCACATTGCTCTAGTAAATGATGAAATCATCAGTTGAATCTCACCTCCAGCTTCAAGTCAGCCATCACCTTTATTACCACTCCAGGGCAAAAACACTCAGGATACAGAGGATGGACAGCAATTACAGGATCTTCTATCTGGAAGTAAGTACAGCATATCGTATTTTTACAATCAAGAGCTTAGGGTTACACAGTTGTTATAACATACAGTACATTAGGCTGTCACAGTTTGTTGGAAACAAAAATGTTTTTGAAGTTTACAAAATCCACACCTGTGGGACATCTTAGAAACAAATATAGTCAAAAAAATATTATATATAAAAATCTTCAATTGCTTTTTTACAGGACAGAAATGTACTTTATATATATATAAAGTACATTTCTGTCCTGTAAAAAAGCAATTGAAGATCTTGAAAAATGATATGGTTTCAATTATTTTCATTGCTTACTTTTTTTGTATTTTTTAGCATTTGTTAAAAAGCATAAAATGTTGTTAAAACACTTCCTAATTAACAACATATGCAAACTGAGAGCATATAACAAGAATATTCCAAATTAGATGAGGCCATTTAACACATTCCTTTGGCTGTTAATAACTTAGCAATTCAAGAACCATAAGAATCCATTTAGTTTTTTTTATAATTGGAAAACCTTTCTAAATTCCTCAATGTGTGAACTAATATGTTTTGTACAAAATATTTTTTAGTATCAAGATAATGATAATGACAGTAAATGAAAAATGAGTGAAAAACAAATTCAAAAAAAGAAAAAATTAAATAATTAATTAAAGATTGCTGATCTCCTTATCTTTTGCATTTCTTAGTGCTTGGGTATTTTGGATTGCTTCCTTATTTATGCTTTCGAAAAATAAATGGATTCCTGTTTTGGGGGAAGTTCCATGTAATGAATATATGTTTCTTTATATGACTATTTGTACGTATCACTTATGGTAGGCTGTGGGCATTGATAGAATATTTTACTGTCATCTTTCTTCACAAAGATGCTTTATTGGTATCTCAAATGAAACATCCTTATCCTTCTAAAGGAAGTGGGGATGTATTCTCATTTAGACCATCTTGTACGAACAAACTTAAGTACTGTACGTATAATGCTGGCTAATGAAATTCACTATATTGCCTCAAAGGTATTTACAGTAAGAATAGTGTAGTGTAGTGAATATGATGTTATACGTTCCTGACTGTCTATCAATATGTACAGTATATCAATACATTATATCATTAAAAAGGAATATTAGTCGATCAATCACACTAACTAATTTAGGTTCTAAATTCAGTCACATCACAAATCTAAATATAAATACATTTATAGTCATAGATGGACTATAGAAATATTCAAAGGTATGGTCATAAACAAAATATAAATTATAGAATTACTGTATGTATATCTATGTACATTGTGACTAAGTCTCCTTTACCTTTATTACATTTTCAGAGTCCTGACCATCTGTAATGATATCTTCTCTCCAGATTCTCTCCAACTCTCCCTCTTTGTTTTGCAGGAAGTAGCTCTGGTCTCCACAGGAGTGGATGACTGAACCTGTCAAAGAAGATTTTTTAGTACCTTTATTATTGTAACTTTAATTGTTGTGAGAATTTCGGCATTGCTTCACAATGGTTAAAATCACATGGTATTAATGCTTTGTATAAATATCCTCTCTTGCACTCATATATTTAGAAATTCCATTTTTTCTACCATCAGCATCGACTTACTGCGATAATACCAGCCATCGTGAGACCAACGGGCAAGGACTTCTTGTCCTGGACTCAATTTGGGTAGTTTGAGTCTGGCACTGTTCACATACTCAGGAATGTCAGCCACAGCCTCACCTTTCAGTGATCAGGAAAAAAGAAAAATATTATGTCATATTTTAAAAACAAGAGAAAAGAACTAAAAAGTGCATAATTTCAAATAATCTAAAAAACAACAGCTTCAAGTGTTCTGTGTCTTCTCCTCCATACTACTTAAGATGGTACGGACTGTACATTAATAATGTACAGGTAGCTTTTATAAAAAAAGAATTTGTTTTTTTTAGGTGCTATAGAGACACACCAATGCATGATAAAGAAAAAAAAGAGAGAGGCATGCCACACAAGAGAGTGAGTATCCGGACGTGGTGTTAAATTGGTCATTCTTATCTATGAAATATGTCAAAAAGAGTTCTGGTCTCTCACTACTGTGCAACAATATCACTACAAGTTGCCATAGACAGCAGACTCATGAAGTTAAAGGCACATCTTCACCCACGTAATCTATTAAAGGAGCACATAAGATTTGTACTTATACTGAATACAAATATTGAAATGTTCAGATTCATCACTGAAACCATACTGTAATTAGTCCAGAAATCTGAAGCAACTAATTTGGAGCTACTGTTTTTCGTGCCATAGTACATCACAGTGCAAATCAGCAACTCTGCTCATAACAGGCACTTTACATAACAAAACCTGACAGCAAAATAAACTGGATTAAGAGCCACGGAGTCCTTTAGCAGTTCACTCTTTGACAAAATCTCCACACGTAATGACACTAATTTGAGAATATACTAGATGCCAGTTTCAAAATGAGTGATCCCACTGTTTCACAAATCCAGGGACATAACTGAGTTAAAGCAGAAGAAAATACTCTGCTTTTGTTAAATAATCTTTGAACATCAAGCATTTCTGGACATAAAATGAATAATGAAATTATACTACAATTTTGTTTTGGCTCAAGTTTCTCTGGGCCCAGGGGTGTTTTCCTGAGTTCCACCTTCTAGAACATACTGTACAGTACACCTTAGGAAAAGTAATCATGTTTTCTGGCTTAATAAAATCACTTACTAAGATCTCTATTTGATGAGATGAGACAACACAGACAGGAGTGGCTCGGGCATGTGATGAGAATGAAAGAATGATTTAAGGTGAGCACAGATTAAGAGAGGACAGCATAAAATCACATTGCACCAATCACTTCTGTCTGATCTCAAAGAGATTGGACTCTCTCATGGTACTGTACTGTGGAATGCACAGCTAATTACCGTGTAAAGTGGAAGCAAATATTAATGGCTTGATTTCACATAAGAGGCTTAATCAAGTACACTAACTTTTAGTAATGTTTTATCGAGCAAAGTTGCCTGTATTTTTATCTTTTTTTCTGGTAATAACGTCATTTAGATTAACACAAGTGCAGAAAGAAGCTATCGCATGTGACATTTCAAAAACGCACATAGAGCGCATGGTGTTATTCCAGGCCCTTTAATAATTTACATCCAGCACTTTATTGATGTACAGTACAAGATGCAGGAGATTATTTTAAGGGCAAGAGAAAGGTGATCTAAAGTATACATTGTTACACAATGATGCCTTCTCCAGATGGAATGGAATTCATCCAAACTACTGAGAGTAGTTTGAATAAATTAAAAGAAAACACATAAAAAGGGCTATGAACTATATCACTTGGGTTATTGTCTGATGTAAATAATGATTCATAAAACTAGTCTTTTAACAGAATATGGAGGTCTAGCTGTGCATTGCGTGACAGAAGAGCAATGTTTTCTGCAAAGGCAGGCTCCATTCATGCTGATGGGACAGAGGAAGAAATTATATTCTTGGCCCCTATAGAGGTTGATTTATGGGAGAAGGAGCCATAAATGCAGTGTACCTGACAAACAGAAATTAAACCCAGTTATCTCCTAAAAACCTGTCAGATCATGGATATAAAAAATAGTATGTCATATTTGCACTTCATGTTATTTGTTATACAAGTTTTCTATGTGCATATATAATTATATACTGTTTCCTGCTATTTGCTGCAGTCATTATTCTGTATTGAAACTTCATGCACACATAACAGGCTTATGTAATATACTTTATAAATCCTTTTTTGAATATAATGGAATTTCATATGATGTGATCAAAATTACATTATCTAGTAGTGCATATGAGATGGTTATTGCCAATTCCTTAGAAGTTTCCTTTGAGGACGTATTCAGTACCTTCCAGCTTTAGTTGCACCCCAGATGAAATAGGAACAAAAACATGAAAGAAAATTATGAATTATGTCCTGCTGAAAGCATTCAGAAATGTCATACTGCAACATAAGACTAAAGTCATAGTTGTCTGAAATAATTCCAGTCCAGAAAACACTGTCACATTTCTTTTGTAAAACCTCCTCTGGCCCAGATTACAATGCTATGAGCTTCTGGAACATCTCAAAGGGAGTGGAGGTTATAAATTCTAGACAGAATTGCTCTAGGCATTTCAGACCCTATACTCTATATTCAGAAGTATATTCTATCTATTGTCCTTATATTAAAAACCATCCAGAATGGAATGTGACGATAAAAAAATATGAGTCCAAGTGAATAAGGTCAACTGGATTAAGAGATGAACAGGGCTGTTAAAAAAACAGCACTACCATGTGTGTGTGAAATCTTACTGTATAATTACAGGAAAGTACCCATTTAAAGCAATAGAGCCTATTTCCTTTATTGTATTGACTTCATTTCTTGTGAAGCCTGAAGTGCCAAAACAATGATTGGTTGGTGCCAGTCTCATTCTATGACAGGTTCCTCTTTGTCCAGTCTCTGCTGAACGCGAACTGATGATCAGCATCCAGTCTGTATGACCAAGTGTAAATCTGGGATTACATTTAATGTATTCTATAAAACAATGTTTTTTTTGTTTCTGAACTAGAATTATGTTTGAAGCATACAAGCGTATACTATTTAGATAATCCGTATGGGATGCTTGATAGAGGAGCCTTGTTCAGTCATGTGAATTAATCAATGTTCCCATAGGATCCTTACACATCCTCACACCTCCAACATGCTGCTGTCATGAAAGCACTGTTGTTTTGATAGGCAGATTTGAGATTTGGGATGGGATTTTCCTTTTTTGACTTTCACCAGCGGACTTACTGTACATCACCTCATCACCTGTGTCTAATCAAAGTCACAGTCACACTACAGTCAATCATGAATGATTCAGTACTCAAAATGATGCTAAAACATTTAATCAATACCAAAACCAAAATACTTTTTTTTAAAAAAAAAAGCCTTTTTGGTGGTCTCGATGTTAGCTGACCAAAGAAACTGGTTAATTAATGCATTATTTAAGTGCAACATTTAGAATCCTAATAAAAACTTTATAAATCCAATCAACTGGTATAACATGCTTCAAACACTATTGAAATGTTTTCTTTGTATTGACACCACACTGTATTTCCTCATGTACCGACATCTTAGTTGTGTCTGCATAGTCTAAATAAAGCAACGTTGTGCCTTTTTAAACCTGAAGTTTAAAAATAAACACAAAGACTTTTGATCATCATGTGTCTTGCAGTCACTGCTCAGGATCTATTAACAAGCTAGGCATGTCCCTGAATAAATTCAAGGATTATGTGAACCTTCAGTCCTCATCTGAACTTAATGGCTTCTCGACGAAGTGCAGGTGATCATTTTCAAGTCCCACAGAATATCTTTAGAGGATCTCACAGAAGATTTTTAGTTACATAACAGGAGAACTCAGAGGTTATTAATCAGTGTTTTAACAGTGCGTCAAACCATCCTTATTCCCCCTAATAGAGTAAATCACAGTGATTCACAGTGATTCAAAACTCAGTCATTAGTCATTGTTGCTACTGTACAAGCTTGAAAATATAAAACACTTAAAATTATTCAGGATATTTGTGATGTAAATGGGTGGCAATTATTAAATGCATCAAATGTTTTGAAATGAAAATATGTTGTCAGCAATGATTTGTATATATCTAGAAGCATTTTCATTGTTAATTAATCTGGTCTGCAATTAACAATATTTGGGTAAAGGGCACATTAATTACAATATTGGCCATGCTATGCACAGTCACTGAAAATATTTACATATTAAACATTGAAAAAGAAGAGTATGAGTATGAACTTTAGAAATGCCCGTATTTCACATTTGTTAATAAGTGCAAAACATGCAGTTCTGTCCATTGCACTGAGGACTCATTACATGGAGTTTTACTCGTTCACGCATTGTCACCACAGTAACTGTCAGCCCCAGGCCAGCCTACAGAGACCTGGGAAATCCTTTTAACAATCTGCAGCCCAATGTTGCTAATCACAGATTAAAACTCATCTCTTCTTTGAGCCTCCTAATCCCTTTTCTTGGATCAGAGTTGAAAATACGTACCGACTGTAAAGCTTTAATTTAAAGCTTATAAAAGTACAACACTTGGCACACAAATTCTCAAATAAGCATTTGTGGTAATAGGCTATAAATAAAACATGAGAAAGCATTATTTTTCAAGTAGATGTGGCTTTTCTCCATCAATAAAGGGGGGTATGACTTTCCTAAGAAATTCATATATGTTTTCCACTATTTTCAAATGGCAGTGACTTTAAGCAAGTAAAATGTTCATGTTTGAAAATCCTTTTTCTTATTCTAATGAGATGTCTCTCAAATCTAGAAAATAAAAGATCTGCAATACAGTCTGACAGGGAAAGAAAATATATATATTTAATTAACTTCATTAATTTAAATTCATACAAGGTTCTATAAAGCACACCACAATATTGAATAGAGTATGTCCACTGTTGATCACTTTAGTCTCCACTGATCCCAAGGACAATAGGCTAGTACCTAGCCTCATCCTCCTGCAAATATCAAAATAATTTAGTGATGAATGTACACTTGGGTAGCATGGTCACACAGGGATCAGCGTTGCTGCTGTGCAGTACTGGGCCTTGGGTTCAACACCCTTCAACAGTTTATGGAGCTCGTCTGATTATAATAACACCCATGTGGCCTTGTAGGGCTACTTTCCAGGGCTTTGTAGCCGCCTTTTTTCGCATGTCTCTTGT